ATATGAGAGAGAATTAATTTTGATAATAAAATTATTTTTTGAAAATATTTTAAATGTTAATAACGAGAATATAAAAATGGAAAGTTACTGCAACTAGCTGTTTTCAAATTATTGAGAAAAATAAAATATAATAAGAAGCAAACACAATATATGAAAAACTAGGAAGAGTTGTTAAAAAAATAATATTATATAGGTATATGTATATATAATGATTTGTTAAAAGTTATTTATTTAAATTTATTCGATCAATGTATGATTTATTCTTTTAATTCTTAATTAAAAAGATAAAATGTATAATGATAGAACCCTAACAAAAATTTCGTTGCATTGAGGTATCAAAATGTCACATTCTAGCTGCTCTCCAAATAAATTTTATGAAAATTTATCATGAAACGCAAACGCAAAACCTTCACAAAGTGCGGAAGCGAACGCGCAGCCTCGATGTGAGCTCATCGCCCAGAAATTCCGCGACGATCGCGCAATTAAACAATTAGAAGTCAAGTCGGATGAACGAACTGCTTTTCCCAAGAATCGTAGAATCTTTTTAGCGAGGCGTTAATAGATCTTACTCAGAATTTATAACGTAATGTTGACATTAGGATTTTGCCTTATCATACATCGGTCGAATTAAATCGTTCATTGTTGCTCATTGCTAAAATTAAATTTTTATCGCGTGCGTTTGGTCGTCTATATCAAATTATACATATATACATATTTCTTAAAAATTCTTTATATTTAACAATATAAGAAAAAATTATTAGATTTACTTTTATATATTATATTATATGACAATTAATCAATTAAATATAACATTATTTTTTGAAATATATAAACATTATATTCTAAAAAGAAAACTTATACATTTTTTGTTAATATTATGCATAATTTAAACGTCGAGATACTTATTTTTCAGTTTTTTATTATTTCCTATGTTTTGTCCGATCTGTATATGTGCATATATGTAATTTTGATAAGTTAAAGAGAATATGTGCGCTTGTTAGCAGAATACACACATAGTATATCTCAAATAATCTTCAAAAAATGCAATTACCCGGAAGTCGATTTGAATGTCACACCATATAGAGTTTGATTAGACTTTATGAGACTAAAACAATGATTTGATTGTTTTTGAACTCGTAGCATTCTAACTAATATAAATGCATCATAATTTTTTAGGGAATACAATATTTCTCTATTTATTATATAATAACACATCAAAAAAAGTATTATGTAAAATGGTGAATATATTAATGTTTGTTATGCTTTTTATCATAATTGTTATATTTATATAATTTTCTATTGAAAATATATTGTGTGATATACGTATTATTATTTAACGCTTTCGAAGCAAATAAAGACATATTATGACGCAAGTAAAGATGTTTAAATACAAGAAAAAAAACATTTTTCACGTATGTGCAACTAAAAGGAAGAAAACAACGGAGATTTACAGTAAGTGCATTTCTCGATGAAAGACGCCTACTAGCTCAAGTGGCTGGGAAGTATTAAAAAAAGATAATAATTGGAAGGCGCCTCTCGGACTAACTTGGCATCGTTGTAACAAGGCCAATTAGTACTTGATCCTCCTTGAATTACGATCGAGCTACCGATCTCCAGAAGCAACATTCTCCTTTTTTCATTATTGTTTTATTAGAATAGTTTTTCAGACACGTAATTGTGTATCGTGCATATTTTATTTTGTACAAAACCGTGTCAATCAAGTGTTTGAAAAGATTTTTCGCTTGAAAATTTACAGGAATAAGAATAAATCTTTAATGTCATGCAGCAATGATTAATCTTATGGCTATTGATTATATTGCAAAATATAAAGAATTATAATTATATACAATGTGAGATTGAACGATCTAATTGATGTAGGAATGAATATGAGAGGATATATTTTTACTGTAAATGCGGCCACTTTATTTCGAAATAAAACAAGTGACCCGATAATGCATATTGAGGATACGTAATCGGCCACCGACGCACGCATACACGCACGTGGAATAAGAATTACAGTAGTTCCATTCATTCCCCGTAACTCGATTAAGGGTCGGTCATACAACTCGGGCTCGTCTCCTGCAATGTTCTGATTTCTTTATTAGACTCTTCAAAATCATTCGTGACCGAGATCACATTCCCAATTAAAAAAATCTTTTAGTGTTTTCTTCATTTACGCTGCCAGATACGACAAATCAGCTTCAAATCATCGTTTAAGTAAAAAAGGGCAAAAGAGTATAAGTTTTTATTTTAAATTTCTTCATGATAAATATATATCCGAAGCTCATCAAAATTAGAAAGGGACAATCGCGTGCGAGAGCGACTTTCCTTGTTAGATAATAGAAAAAGTTTTTCTCTTCCACTTATCGTTGGTGTCGACTCGAGTTTAAGAGCGCAGAATGGTCTCTTACCGACGAGAATAGCATCCTTGCAAAGCGCGAAGAGGAGACGGATTATAAATAGATCGACCATCGACGATATCGTGGCCGAACTCATTCGTTGTTACTCCACGGATGATACCATTATTATATATCAACTATATTTATTCGTTGATAAATAATTATTCTTCACGCTTAACATCTATCGTCATATTTAAAAATTAGCCAATTATTTGTAGTATTCTCTCTTATTGATTTTTAATAAGATTTATTTTACCGATATTTAAAGGCAATTTCTAAATTTTAGAAAAAATAGGGATTAAATAAAAATTTGCCGAATTATATCTCGTCTTATATCTGATACCATTATTAATTATAACAATTATATTTATTCGTCGCTAAATAATTTTTCGCGCTAAACATCCATCATCATACTTATAAAAATTAGCCAATTATTTGTGGTATTCTCTCTTATTGATTTTTAATAGAATTTATTTTACTGGTATTTAAAGGCAGTTTCTAAATCTTAGAAAAAAATAGGGATTAAATAAAAAATTTGCCGAATTATCTTTCGTCTTATATCTGGTTTTTCGTTGCGCGAAGCAACCGGATCAACGAAGACGACCGGATTGATGTAATTGCGTGACTGACAGCTCGTCTAAAGTGAACGATCGGCTGTCAAGGGGCCCCTGGGCCCCGTTGCTGTCGCGCTCATAACGTACATATGTATGTATGTACGTGCTCGTATATAGAAGAAGGCCGGGTCCTACGACGAGCCACCGGATATTCTCACATACTCGCGCGCATTTTCTTGCGAGCGCAGTGCTGCAGTTCGTTGCAGCAGCCGCGTCGGAATGGCACTGACCCTGTCGGTCGACTTCTGTCGGCTGTGGCCCGATAATTTGCTACTTGCAGATAACATTGACGGCTAATTACAGGATTGACGTGTCAACGGCTGCCTTCCGTAATATCTTATGCGTTTCTTCGTTTTGCAATTTTTTTTATCATAAAGTTGATTTAATTATAAAACTTGTAAAAAAATTAATTAGAAAATATAAGCGTAATTTGTGGTTTTTTGGGGCTTTAAGTAATTCTCTCTTGTACTTAATTATTCGTTATCTCTGTAATGATATTTTTTATTAGATCGAAAGTTTTTAAACTAGCATTAATTTATATGCATTATGCACAGTTATGCGAGATTAATGGCATCGATTATATCGTTATGACTGCATCTAACAATTAGCCGCAATTTCTGCGAATATAATTTCATTACTTCAACATAAAATATCGTATAGTAGAAGAAGTTTCACGGGATTTCCCTAAAGTCAGTAAACAGTAAAACAGTTTTATGTAACACTAATTTTATATATAAACTTATTATGTCAACCGAGCGCGTAACTAACAATAAGGCTTCTAGGAAACATCTCACAATGGAAGAGAAACTTCAAATTTTGGAGAAATTTAAAATACGTGAATTAGTGAATAAAGGAATGAGCGTGAAAAGAAATTATGTAATAATCTGAAGAATTCGAAGAAGAGGAACTTTAAGTATTGCAGAAACATTCGTACTTTTGTATATAAAGTTTGCATTATTATTATTATTATGTCCACTTATACAAGTCGTGCATACATTTTTATGTAGTTAAGAAAATAATAATGCGAATACTTATTTAGTCAGCTCTTTTAATTTTTAAAGCCACAATCTCCACTTGATTCCTCTCGACCAATAGAGCCAAACGCGATGTTATTGCGACAATTATGAAGAAAAGAACATTTGAAAAGGAATTTGAATCCTATGGTTGGGATCTCAAAAATTCCCCCTGTTCCTTCTCTTAACATCCCCTGTAAATTTTTGAGATCCCAACCATAGGATTCAAATTCCTTTTCAAATGTTCTTTCCTTCATAATTGTCGCAATAACATCGCGTTTGGCTCTATTGGTCGAGAGGAATCAAGTGGAGATTGTGGCTTTAAGAAAATAAGTTACATTTCTCATAATTTATATATTCGTTGATAAACTTAGATAGTGTTCAAAAAAGACTATGGTTTTTCAAAACATTTAAATCATAATCGCGACTGACAATGAACTGTATTTACTCGGTGATGTTTTTCGTCATAGTTTTGCACGTTAGGAGGAACGCGATGTGCCTGAGAGTTTTACAGTTTCCTAAAATATATTTACACGAGAAGAGCAACTAATAAAACCAAGATTCAAGGGATAACACAAAATCACGGAAATTCAAGGTGCTTATTTTTTTTATTATGTATTAATCTTTTTTTCGTTGAATTATTTATATTTTAAATGGGTATGTTTGTTACTGGAATTTTTCTGTCATCATTATGTATATCTGTGTACGTACATTTTGAACTAATTTGGATACAAGTAATATAAATTATAATTTATATTATAAAATTAATTTATATTATAATTTATATTATATAATGAATAAAACCAGTAGATTTATATATAAATAACAAAAAAGATCATTCGGAATTAAATTTATCTCGTAGTAATCAACAAATTTTATTTTTTTCTATTAAAAGTATTATTTCACTAAATTAACACTAATTTTTATGTTCATAAAAATTTATTTAGCTCGTGTGTGTGTGGAGTTCGATAACTTTATTTGTCATTTTATATATCATGTTATTGTAAATAATGGACAATAATGTCTTAGTAGATGTCACTGTATGAAAACAAACGTCGGGGATGCGAAATATATTTCTTCGAGTCAGCGCATGACTTTGAACCAGTGTTACCATTTGCGTTCGTTCGGAAGGTTCTTCTGAAAAGCAACTTAGTCGTAATTTTTGCGAATATAATTTTAGTGTTTCAAAATCGCATATTGTATAGTAAGAGAAGTTTCACGGGATTTCTCTAAAGTCAGTAAACAGTAAAACAGTTTTGTGTAAAAATAATTTTATATATAAACTCATTATGTCAACCAAGCGCGTAACTAACAATAAAGCTTCTAAGAAACTTCTCACAATGGAAGAGAAACTTCAAATTTTGGAGAAATTTGATGGTGGCATTTCAGTGAAAAACATTGCCACTTGTTTTAATCTACCTTATATTACTGTATATCAGATAGTGAAGAAAAGTGATAAAATACGCGAATCAATGAATAAAGGAATGAGCATGAAAAGCAAGTTTATAATATCTAAATCAAAATTTAAAGAATTGGACAAACAATTACATGAATGATGTAAAGAGAATGTACCGGGAAATGTAATTGACTACCAGCAATATAAAAAGCTTACTGAGGAAGCATATAAAATCGCAAAAGGAGTTGAGAAATCACCAAACGATATGCATAGTTTTATTCGAGATTTTAGAAAACGTTACGACATTAAAGTAAAGTCTAAAAGTTCTCTTTCAATTTTGAATGAAAAATTGCATAAATGGTATGAAGAGCGGAAAGCATCAGGAAACACAATTGACTCGAAGCAACTTCGTAAGGCAGCATGTGACTTCGCAAAAGATGTTGGTGAACCGTCAAATATGAAGGACTTTTTGTATAGATTTAAAAAACGTCACGGATTTGAACTATGTAGCTACAAAAGTAAGAAGATTTTGCAAAATTCTTTTCAAAGAGATGATGAGGCCGATCAGTCTATAATGCTGAACAATTTGTTCAAAAATTCAGACAGCGATTAGAGCAGGAAAATATTAGTAAAGATAACATTTATGTTATGGTCCAAGCAGACGTTATATTTCATACTCTTCTTCAAACCTTGCTAGCATATACAGACAAGAAAAAAATTGCAATACAAAGTAACGTTAAAGATTTGAAGAAGGTAATTTTAACTGTTATATTGTGTGCAAATGTTACTGATAGTAACTGTTTCCAATTATTTCCTTTTCCGACTGTAATTAATGAGTATGAAAAGCAAAGTGTATTAGAATATTGCAAGAGTAGATTGCTCGTCGCTCATGAACTACAAGAAAATGCAGAAAATCTCGATGAAATATCGGAAGATTTTGCACTTTGGTATAATAGTATATTTAAGATTGATGTGAAAGAATATCAGAAAAAAAATAATATAGCTGGCAAATAATTTTTACTTGTAGATAATTGCAAACAATACATCTCGGATAAGATTACTCAAAATGACGATTTTGAAATAGTGTTCTTTCCGATAAACTTATTACAATTGTGTTCAGAAATTATTGAGAAGATGAACCAAAATTGTTGTAATTACTTGATAGAACATATACAGAATGATTCTTCTGGATCTGAAGGTATCGACCAGCTTTATAATATAAAGTTGTGTAATAAGATAGTTCGTAAATCATGGGCAGTCGCTTCGAAAGAAATGGAAAAATTATGGAGATTTTTAGACAATATCGGCAATCACGAGAAGATATTTCAACACTCACATTAGCTTCTGTTACTTCACCAGTTAATTAAGTCTACAGGAAAAGTCATCGTTCCTGACAAAAAACCATTACTTATTCTTTGCACAGACGGCGACAGAAAAGAACATCACCAACAAAGAGAAACTATTAAAGAGACTTAAAACAATAATAAAAACAGAAAGGGAAGACACTCAGAAATATCTCTTGGCAATTTAGAATAGATAGTTTATAATAGTTGAAAAAGATTTTATATAAAAGACTTTAAATGAAATATTAAACAAAATACTTAGTTCTAATGGAAAAAATAAAAAAGAGGAACTTCAAGTATTGCAAAAACATTCGTACTTTTGTATATAAAGTTCGCATTATTAATATTATTATTATTATTGTTACGATGTTTACTTATGCAAGACGTGCATACAATTTTATGTAGCTAGAAGAAATTGTTATATTACCCGTAATTTATATATTCGCTAGTAAACTTTTTGGTATGGAATGTTTAAAACAAAAAAAAATTCTCAAAACTTTTAAATCATTTTATCGAATCGGTATTTACACAGAACAGTGATTGTGTGAATTGAGAATTATGTTTTTATTATAATTATACGTAATGAGGAATGCAGTACCTAGGAGTTTCAAAATTTCTGGAATGCTTAAAAATTATATTTGAAGAAATTTAAATTCTCTGCTCGGAGGTACAACTGATGAAATCAAATATAAATATAAATTGAGAGTGTCAAACAGGCAATAAGAGCCAAATCGCGGATGACAGTGCGTTATCCCAACAAAACTAAATTTTTTCGTTAGGATTAAAACCTGTGCACAAGGCACTAAATTTTACTTGGACACGGCCAAGTTTGATGAAATCAAACTTCAGAGGATGGCATGCAAAAAAATTCGAGGTGCTTACTTCTTTTTTATTCTATATTAGATATGTGTTTTTTGTAGGATATCATTGTGTGTATATATTTAAAGTGAATATTTGTACTATATTTTCTTTTATTATGTGTATCTGTATGTGTACATGTATATATTTATGCATATAAATAGATCAGTTCAGTGATACTCGTTTTTTAATTGTCAGTAGATCTAAATAGTTGCTGATTAATTTAAGTATACTAATTTCATTTGACGTTATTTTACTTTTTTATTCTATCATTGAATTCGAGTTTTTTTTAAATGTTGAAGCAAAAATAATGTATATAATTACTTTATAAATAATACATAACCTTTGATTTAAAATTAAAATATATAACGAGTAATGTATTTATTGTTATTAAAATATATTCGAGCAAGCTATAAAAATTTTAGCTGATTTTCGTAGAAAAGTATAATAATAAGTAAATATATTTATTATATAATTATATTCTATCAGTTTTCATAATATTGATATCATGAAACATAGCAGATTTAAAAATTGGAACTTTAGATTTCTTTATTAGTATCTGTATCTGTTTCTTCATCCTCTTTCTAATCATTTCTATTGATGAAGTATATTAGCAACCGGTTAAAGGTTTCCTAAATAAAGCTATTATGATACATTAATACATTTTACAAGGCCGTCTACGTGCCCGTGAAGTATTGAGAAAGCGACATCTATCAGTTTTCTTATCTAGATTTTGCGGCTTGACATCTAAGGCAATATCGATCGACATTATCTCGCTATGTATATCTTCTCTTTTAACTTGTCTCGTTACTCCACTTTTTACTCGTTTCTGTGGTTGTTTTGTTTGTTATCCTCCTAAAGGAAATATTTTCTCAAATTTTTTTAAAGAGCTAGCTAATTGAAGAGAGGGGTTTACGTTCATTTATCCGCTCGTAGAAGATATGATTTTAGAGTGAGAAGTCTTCTTCATAAACCGGAAGATCTCGCGATCTTTCTACGCGAGTCAGCGGTTCTCAGCTTTTGGCGATAGATGTTAGGTAAAAAAAATTTGCAGACGCATACATATGTTAGGTAAATGCATTAATTTTTTAAGCCGTTTTTTCAACGTCGATTAGCTTTACTTATATTTTTCTTTATTTTCTAATCAAATTAAAAGGTTAACATCGTAAATGGATGCTACTAAAAGGCATTAAAATAATAGAAAAGCGATCATTTTGTTATTATTATGAATGTTTTTCGTACTATACCGCTTAAAAATTTTACATATTAATATATTTATTCTGCGTCTTGGGTAAATCATTCAATCAGACTACGATATTAATTTGTGATCAGAGCCTGCATTAATTTGCAAACTTTTTGTTTGTATCATAATAATACTTATCTAGGTACATGTAGGTATTTATATGTGTACGACTAACTATAGTCAAGAATTTTTTTGTTTCACTGTAATATTAATGATTGGTGCAATTTTTATTGACGTGAAATACGCTATATTTCCACGTTTGTTTCTGCGCCCCTTTGTAAACAAAGTTGGATTAATTTTAATGTAACTATAACAAAAGGAATAGAATTAGATTCATGTAAACATTAAAAAATTTTATTTGGAATTAAATTTATATTTCTTATCAATCAATAAATTTTTATTTTTTTGCATAATAGAAATTATTTTATTAAATTAACTCCAATTTTTATGTTAATAAAAATTTATTTAGCTCGTGTGTGTGTGGGGTTTGATAACTTTATTTGTCATTTTATATATCATGTTATTGTAAATAATGGACAATAATGTCTTAATAGATGTCACTGTATGAAAACAAACATGGGGTACGCGAAATATATTTCTTTGAGTCAGCGCATGACTTTGAACCAGTGTTTCCATTTGCGTTCGTTCAGAAAGTTCTTCTGAAAAGCAACTTAGTCGTAATTTTTGCGAATATAATTTCAGTGTTTCAAAATCGCATATCGTATAGTAAAAGAAGTTTCACGGGATTTCTCTAAAGTCAGTAAACAGTAAAACAGTTTTGTGTAAAAGTAATTTTATATATAAACTCATCATGTCAACTAAGCGCGTAATTAACAATAAGGCTTCTGGGAAACTTCTCACAATGGAAGAGAAACTTCAAATTTTGGAGAAATTTGATCGTGGCATTTTAAGGAAAAACATTGCCACTCGTCATAATATTCCTTACAGAACTGTATGTAGAATAGTGAACCAAAGTGATAAAATACGCGAATCAGCGAATAAAGGAATGAGCATGAAAAGAAACCACGTAATATCTCAAGCAAATTTTAAATATTATGAATTGGACAAACAATTACATGAATGGTGTAAAGAGAATGTACCGGGAAACGTAATTGACAAGGAGCAATGCAAAAAGCTTTTTCAGAAAGCACATAAAATCGCAAGAAGGGTTGGGGAATTACCAAGCAATATGGCAAATTTCATTCGAAATTTTAAAAAACGTTACGATATTAAAGTAAAGTATCAAAATTCTGTTCCAATCTTGGACGAAAAATTGTATGAATGGTATCAAGAGCAGAAAGCATCAGGAAACACAATTGACTCGAAGCAACTTCGTAAGGCAGCATGTGACTTCGCAAAAGATGTTGGTGAACCGTCAAATATGAAGGACTTTTTGTATAGATTTAAAAAACGTCACGGAATTGAACTACCTAGCTACAAAAGTAAGAAGATTTCGCAAAATTCTTTTCAAAGAGATGATGAGGCCGATCAGTCTAATGCTGAACAATTTGTTGAAAAATTCAGACAGCGATTAGAGCAGGAAAATATTAGTAAAGATAACATTTATGTTATGGTCCAAGCAGACGTTATATTTCATACTCTTCTTCAAACCTTGCTAGCATATACAGACAAGAAAAAAATCGCAATACAAAGTAACGTTAAAGATTTGAAGAACGTAATTTTAACTGTTATATTGTGTGCAAATGTTACTGATAGTAACTGTTTCCAATTATTTCCTTTTCCGACTGTAATTAATGAGCATGAAAAGCAAAGTGTATTAGAATATTGCAAGAGCAGATTGCTGGTCGCTCATGAACTACAAGAAAATGCAGAAAATCTCGATGAAATATCGGAAGATTTTGCACTTTGGTATAATAGTATATTTAAGATTGATGTGAAAGAATATCAGAAAAAAAATAATATAGTTGGCAAAGTATTTTTACTTGTAGATGATTGCAAACAATACATCTCGGATAAGATTACTCAAAATGACGATTTTGAAATAGTGTTCTTTCCGATAAACTTATTACAATTGTGTTCAGAAATTATTGAGAAGATGAACCAAAATTGTTGTAATTACTTGATAGAACATGTACAAAATATTTCTGGATCTGAAGGTATCGACAAGTATTATAATACGCGTTTGTGTAATTACATACTTTGTAAAGCATGGGCAGACATCGCGCCGGAAGAAATGAAAAAATTATGGAGATTTTTAAGACAAGATCGGGAAGATATTTCAACACTCACATTAGCTTCATGACTTCACAAAAGTTAATTAAGTCTACAGGAAAAGTCATCGTTTCTGACGAAAAATCGCTTACTTATTTCTTGCGCAGAAGACGATAGAGAAAATCATCACCAACAAGAAGAAACTATTGAAGACACTAAAAACACAAATAAAAACGGAAAGGGAAGACACTCAGAAATATCTCTTGGCAATTTAGAATAGATAGTTCAAAATAGCTGAAAAAGATTTTATATAAAAGATTTCAAATGAAATATTAAACAAAATACTTAGTTCTGGTGGAAGAATTCGAAGAAGAGGAACTTTAAGTATTGCAGAAACATTCGTACTTTTGTATATAAAGTTTGCATTATTATTATTATTATGTTCACTTATACAAGTCGTGCATACATTTTTATGTAGTCAAGAAAATAAGTTACATTTCTCATAATTTATATATTCGTTGATAAACTTAGATAGTGTTAAAAAAAGACTATGGTTTCTCAAAGCATTTAAATCATAATCGCGACTGACAATGAACTGTATTTACTCGGTGATGTTTTTCGTCATAGTTATGCGCGTTAGGAGGAACGCGATGTGCCTGAGAGTTTTACAGTTTCCTGAAATATATTTACCGAGAAGTGCAACTAATAAAACCAAGATTCAAGGGATAACACAAAATCACGGAAATTCAAGGTGTTTATTTTTTTATTATGTATTAATCTATTTTTTGTTGTATCATTATTTATATTTTAAATGGGTATGTTTGTTATTGGAATTTTTCTGTCATCATTATGTATATCTGTGTACGTACATTTTGAACTAATTTGGAGATACAAGTAATATAAATTATAATTTATATTATAAAATTAATTTATATTATAATTTATATTATATAATGAATAAAACCAGTAGATTTATGTATAAATAACAAAAAAGATCATTCGGAATTAAATTTATCTTGTAGTAATCAACAAATTGTTATTTTTTCCTATTAAAAATATTATTTCACTAAATTAACACTAATTTTTATGTTTATAAAAATTTATTTAGCTTGTGTGTGTGTGCGTGTGTGGCTCGATAACTTTATTTGTCATTTTATTTATCATGTCATTGTAAATAATAGACAATAATGTCTTAGTAGATATCACTGTATGAAAACAAACATCGGGTACGCGAAATATATTTCTTGGAGTCAGCGCATGACTTTGAACCAGTGTTTCCATTTGCGATCGTTCGGAAAGTTCTTCTGAAAAGCAACTTACAATAAGTGAATAAAATTGCTATATTATTTTTCGTGTGTGTTAGATTCTTGTCATTTGTTGTATACTGATAATACTGATAATAATTACTAATAGCGATAAGTTACGAATACATATGAATATACTAGAAAGGAAAAGAGATTTTATCTTTTGAAAAGAATCGAAAAGGATTGAATATAATCAATATGCGCGAAGATAATCGCATTTCCACGATGACTCAATTATTGTACATTGTCAAATATAATCTTCTCTCATTTATACTATTGTCAGTACAATTGCTCTGAACAATAACCTAATATCTCTTCTTAAAGTGTTTCATTAATCGAGATAAAACATAATTCTCCATTTAATTTTATAAGTTTGCATTCCACACATACAACTCTATTTTATTGTTACTATATTAAATCTTGCTTAGCACGGAATTCCTTTTAGCAAAGTTTGTCGTGTTATCGCGATAATAATCAATTCGCATTTTAACGTATATATGTATATAGATAAATGCTAAAGTAAGATGCATAGTTTCACATTGGAATCGAAAAAATTTCGGTAAAATTACCGTCCGTGTCACGGACCTCCCCACTTTTATTACTATTCGTATCTACAAGTGCTGTCGCGTTATCTAGTTAACGAGCATAGATACCCGATGACCATTTCCCGGATGGCTCTGTTTACGATCCGTGATATGTAAAACATGCAGCTTGCACTTTCGCCTCGTCGCGTCACGACGATTCGGACAGAAAAAACGAATCGCGAAGGCGTCACGGCGAAAGATCAATCTGGATTTAATGACCCGTATACATACGCACTACTTTTGCTCGTGCAACTGAGTCTTTAAGGCGATGCCACTCTACTTCCTAGTCGATAACACATGAAACTCCAAGAACATATGCATTTATACACGCGACGAAGACGAATATGTGAAACTTTCTCACGTAATACAGTGTTACAAAGTATTCTGAATTTAAAAGTAATAATAAGGAAATTATTATAATATGGAATTATTATGCTCTTTTTAAAAACAATTTTGAGGCAATTTTGTTTTTAAAAAAATTTATCGAAAAAAAAATCAGAAGTGTATTAACATTTTGATAATTTTGTTTAATTTTTATTGTGTTATTTTGAAATAAATATTTGTATTTTTAAAAGTAAAAATATATTCTTTGTACGTCTTATTATGCGTTTTCAATTTCTGATTTTTAATCAATGATTAGAAAGTGTTATGAATTATCATACGCAAATTGATGTATGTATGTGAAGTTGTCGTCTCATTTTGCAGAAACTTATAAATAATTAAGAGGTCTGACTTATTTACAATAGTTCTAAAATTCCTCTAGTTCTGCAACTTTTAATTATTTATGAGTTTCCACAAAATGATACGCTGACCTCATACACACTGCAAATGGTTCAAAAAGAAAGCTTTATTTAAACTGCGTACTACTAGTTGTAAGCTATAAAATGCCTATGTACGAAAGAATCAAGAACGATATAATATAATTGTTTGTTTCCGTTTTAGGATTCTGGGGCTATCACAGGCAGGGTTCTTGTCAAGCTGGTTTCGGAGCCGCAATATCTAAGGTAAGTCAAACAATATATCGTTAACTTTCTTGCTAGGATGCACAAAGGATAATATTATTCCTTTAATTTTTTACTTAATATTACGAAAAATATTAATTAAAAAAACGAATTTAAAATTAGGTGCTTTTTATATTCGGTTCTCAGATATACCTAGCGTTTTATTTTAAGCACACAATCTGACATATTAGGAATAATATTATTCTAAAACCTATATATATTCAACGGTCCCGATGATACAAAGATCTGCATACAGCTTAGCGATTTAAGTGACAATCGGAAGCGCATCGCGCGAATGTAAATACGGTAACACCGTAGCGTGTCTCGGTGGTTGCGACGTCTTCAAAGCGTTATAGGAACGAGGGGATGCTGGCGAGGGCCGAATATGGCCAGGAATGCGAATTTCTACCTCACGCACCTCCGGACATTCGTATTCGTGCCATGGCGCATCCGCGTACAATGCAGCGGAGCCAATCGTCGCGGCTTTCTCTCTCGTATACGATTGTCTTGTCCGAAGCTCCGATTCTCCGACAGAGATCGCGGGGCCCGAATGGGCCAGAACCGTAGGCGTCTTCGCGCGCCTTTTGCTCGCTTTTCATCCAAGATTCGATCTTCGGCTACGACGACGTGGGATGCTTGTTGCACCTGTATAATCTCCACGCGCTGATATACTCACTTCATCTCGCGGCCGATGTTGCAATAAATATCGGCAGCAGCCGCCGACAAATCGGTAGCTATTGCTTTCATCTATCGAATGCGATGATCGTTCTTATGTCATTTGAAAATTTTGGTGTAAAATTTCACGATTGCGCGGTTAGAATTTTTTTTTTTTTTTACAAAAAATATTTAAATATAATTTATTAAAAGTGACATTTAGTTCGATACTTTAATAGAGTTCATACTGAAAGAGTATATAACATATTTTCTATCAATGATAGATTTTTTTAAATTAACTTGTTGTCACAATGTAAACAGTTTTATAATTTAATATACTATTCTTTTCGGCAATATTTTTGTATAAATTTTCCACATTTGATAAAGAAATTTAAATAAAAGGATTAGAAAGTTACGTGAGTTTAAATTTTATGTGTTTAACATTTTAAAATATCTAAAAATATGTAATCATCTTTCCGTTCAAGGAGTAAAATTATTTTACAAAATTAAAGAATGGTCGCGATTTTTAAAAAATTAAAACATTGACAAACTTGCTTTGTGACACACTTCTACATTGAAATATTTTACGAATTACATATATAATCCGCGATCTAATTTCTCTCTTTCACGTAGGATAAGAAATCCCACGCGAATAGTGTTATCGGGCTTCGATTGCGCCGCCAAAGAAATAGTAGAACGATCCCGTAGACACTCAGCCGGTTATCTCGCCACGAATGTATAATTCAGAATTGCGCGACTATATGGTAGATGTTTAATGCATGTCGCGAATCGTATTCGACTCCGAACTTGGTTTTAGCATACAATGTTAATACTTTGCCCGCGCTCATTTCTAAAATTTGATCTCAAATTTGAGCGATTAAAAGAAAGTGAAAATTAAATTAAATAAATTAAAATTTTACAGAATACTGTTTTTCTTTAGAAACGTATCGTCTTTGCCATTATATACAAGTAAGATTATCATTGCCATTATATACAAGTAAGATGAGAAAAGGATGTAATGACATAAAACGCGTCAAGGTAAAGTTAGATTAAATTAAACATTTAATTTTTTGTGATTAATTTAATATAATAAAGATTCCATATCTTATTTTAATGTTTTGATACACAAATAAAGAAATATAAAACCCGTCACAAAGATGCGTCACAGAGATTATTTTTTATTGTTATTTTATATTATTACAAAGTACTAACATACCTTATGATAGTGCGTTCTTCATGTCCGATTTGAATTAATATGCCTTTGTAGAAGAAGAAAAGTATTCCTTTAAAAAGTACATCAACTGAAAAAAAATTTTAACCTAAGTAAAAGTATAATGACAGAGGTCTGATTAAAAAATATGACAGATTATGTAGTTCTTTTAGCCTATTCACGTATAAAACAAATAGACTAATATATTTGTCGAAGTTATATAAATATATTAGTTACTGTTAACAGAAATCATATATACAATGTGTAATAACCAACCCTCGTAGTTTCAAACATAGATTCAAATAACGTTTGCCGACCGTTCTGGACCGGAGTCCTGGTTTTACTGGGAAGAAATTTTGGGAATTGCTCAAAACTTATCTCATAGTATCTTAAGTTTCCTGTTCTCATAGCACTGTAAACAATATAAAATTATATACATATATAAGTGTGTATAAGTACTCATGATATAAGTAAAAATGTCGATATGTTTAGTTAATTTCAAACTTAATATTATATTTACGTTTTCGATATCCAAAACATAGAAAGCTCGTAACGTCTCTGTTTATGATAGTTAGGTTTTATGATAGTTTTTAAACCAAGTCTTCTGGCCACGCTGTGATATATTATTAATAAAATCACATGTTGACCATATTTATTTTTTAAGACCTGTGGCAGATATTACAATACAGAAACAAATTATAACGAAATTAATATTTAGTTATAACAAACATATGGCCATTTCACAACAATATGGCTATAATTATAATATATAATAACTTACATCATCTATACATAAGTTCTCCACATTTTTGTCTTCCGATTTACATAGTTGAAAGTTTAATTTATCGAAAATATCCTCGAGTGCATCCCAAATTTGCAATTCTTCTTCTTCGTTGTAGAAACTATCACGCATTTCTGTATTGTTTTTCCAATAGGAAAAAGTTTCATCGGTAATTGAGAATATTAAATGGTTGGGATGTTTTTCTCTAAGGCGATTTCGAACTTTTTGTGTGATATCATCTAATGATGCTTGTACACATGAGTAAAATACAATCTTTTCAGGATGTGCGATTTGAATCTCAATAGTAACAGCTTCTTCCAGTAGCTTATTCTCGTAAGGTTTTGCATCGAATCTTTTCGATGTTTCCTTCAGAAAACGTCTCCTCATATATTCAAATAATTCCATTCCAATAATTTTTTCATTTTGATCGCTATCAATTTTGAATAATTTATATATTAACTGTGTGAATATATACATTAGTCTATGAAGTTAATAGAACGATAATATATATTAAAAATCGTACCTTGAAGATTGTGTAATCATTCTTTTCAATTCGTCAATGAAGAAATAATATTTTATGATATTTTCAGGTTTATTAATAATTTTTTCAATCTCATCGTGAAAATGTTTTCGAAAACTAATTTGGGATATAAGATTGTGTAATTCTTTTATACAATTTACGCCTATTTCTATAAAGTTTAATTTTTTTTTATCCTTCCCTTCATTCTCTTCAGATTCTTTCTGCTCATTTTCATTAGATTGTGTGTCATAAAATTTCTTCACAGAAGACCATCTGAAAATAAATCAAAATATATCTTAATAAACCTTTGTAAATTTCTGACATAAAGATTTTTATAATGTTGTCTCCGTAATGTAAAGGGGATTTTCGCGGGGAATTTTAGTGGAGAATACGGGATAAATACTGAAAAATTCCACAACCAAAAGATATCATGTATAAGTAATATTAAATCATACATAATTACATGCTAATTATTTTACAGAAAGAGGACAACCACATATACCTCGTGATGTTGTCAACGTTATCTTCTTGAGTGACTCTTACATAAGTTACATAAAGTTACCTTCTTTCTGTAAATTGGGAAAAATTTTGTTGTATTAAAAAAAATTCTGTCCGAAAATGGACAAAACATAATTACTGATTGAATCTACCAGAATTCTTTTTAATACAAGCAGTTTGTTTGCACAATAAATCAGTTGTTTGTGCAATCAAGATTCTTTTTGCATTAAAAGGAATTCTAATAAACTCAACCAGTAATTCTGTTTCTTCCATTTTTGAACAGAATTTTTGTTAATACAACAAGATTTTTTTTAGTGTACTTATTTATTACTTATTTTGTACATTTTATATTTTATAAATAATTCATATTTTTGTTATATTTTGGAAAACACTTATTCCAGAATTATTTTATTGTTTTTCCTGTATTTGCTTATCAAAAATACCTTTAAAGTCAAAATGTAAAAAAAATATCAAAGATGTGGAAATATCCGAAAAACAATTTTTCTGCAAAGTTTCAACTAATTTCACCGAAACCCAATTTCCGAATTAAGGAAATGATGGGGTCCTATATAAAACAAAAGTATTACCTCTGTAAAAGCTTTAATTCCTTGAATTTGTTATTTTTGGCTGCACATTGGAAACGCTTGCATATGCATCTGAAGTTAATTACGTCCTCAATAGTAATATCGCTATGGCTTAGAATGATGATTATTGTCTCGTTAGGTAGATCCTCTATCGTCGCCATTACAAAGAAATTCAATATAACACAAGTTTATAATACAAATCTAAGTGATGGCAACAGATTATTTGTGTAATTAATTTTTTCTTGCAAAAACACATAAAATATATTGCGATATTGCGAATGTATCTAGCGATTTAATAGAGCACAAGCACGTGTTTTATATCTGATCAATACAGACAGTTTCCACACGCTGTCCACTTCTATACTGAAACCTTTTGCTCTCTAAAGATCTGATTCGCTTTTCCCACTAGGGATATTTTTTTCACATAACTCTCAAGAGGGAAGCGGAACCTAAGAAACAGGCAACAAAATATTTCCTTTCTACATTTGCGCGTTCAAGGGCCGATTTTTGGTAAGTTTTACCCGACAGCATATTTTCCTCTCTTTTCAGATAAATTCTAAAAAAAGAGACGAAGATATATTACCTGTTGGGTAAAACTTACCAAGAGTTGGAACAACCGGCCCTAAAACAGAAAAAGATAGAGAACTACAGAATAGGTATACGACCCTAACTAGTCGTATTCGACTCCTAACTTGGTTTTAGCATACAATGTTAATACTTTGCCCGCGCTCATTTCTAAAATTTGATCTCAAATTTGAGCGATTGAAAGAAAGTGAAAATTAAATTAAATAAATTAAAATTTTACAGAATATTGTTTTTCTTTAGAAACGTATCGTCTTTGCCATTATATACAAGTAAGATTATCATAACCATTATATACAAGTAAGATGAGAAAAGGATGTAATTACATGAAACGCGTCAAGGTAAAGTTAGATAAAATTAAACATTTAATTTTTTGTGATTAATTTAATATAATAAAGATTCCATATCTTATTTTAATGTTTTGATACACAAATAAAGAAATATAAAACCCGTCACAAAGATGCGTCACAGAGATTATTTTTTATTGTTATTTTATATTATTACAAAGTACTAATATACCTTATGATAGTGCGTCCTTCATGTCCGATTTGAATTAATATGTTTTTGTAGAAGAAGAAAAGCATTCTCTTAAACAGTACATCAACTGAAAAAAATTTTAACCTAAGTAAAAGTATAATGACAAAGGTCTGATTAAAAAATATGACAGATTATGTAGTTCTTTTAGCCTATTCATGTATAAAACAAATAAACTAATATATTTGTCGAAGTTATAAATATATTAGTTACTATTAACAGAAATCATATATACAATGTGTAATAACCAACCTTTATAGTTTCCAACATAGATCCTAACGTTTGCCGACCGTAGTGCTGGACCGGAGTCCTGGTTTTACTGGGAAGAAATTTTGGGAATTGCTCAAAACTTATCTCATAGTATGTTAAGTTTCCTGTTCTCAAAGCACTGTAAACAATATAAAATTATATACATATATAAGTGTGTATAAGTACGCATGATATAAGTAAAAATGTCGATATGTTTAGTTAATTTCAAACTTAATATTATATTTACGTTTTTGGTATCCAAAACATAGAAAACTGGTAACGTCCCTGTGGTTTTATGATAGTTTTTAAACCAAGTCTTCTGGCCACGCTGTGATATATTATTAATAAAATCACATGTTGACCATATTTATTTTTTAAGACCTGTGGCAGATATTACAATACAGAAATAAATTATAACGAAATTAATGTTTAGTTATAACAAACATATGGCCATTTCACAACAATGTGGCTATAATTATAATATATAATAACTTACATCATCTATACATAAGTTCTCCACATTTTTGTCTTCCGATTTACATAGTTGAAAGTTTAATTTATCGAAAATATCCGCGAGTGCATCCCAAATTTGCAATTCTTCTTCTTTGTTGTAGAAACTATCACGCATTTCTGTATTGTTTTTCCAATAGGAAAAAGTTTCATCGGTAATTGAGAATATTAAATGGTTGGGATGTTTTTCTCTAAGGCGATTTCGAACTTTTTGTGTGATATCATCTAATGATGCTTGTACACATGAGTAAAATACAATCTTTTCAGGATGTGCGATTTGAATCTCAATAGTAACAGCTTCTTCTAGTAGCTGATTCTCGCAAAGTTTTGCATCGAATCTTTTCGATGTTTCCTTCAGAAAACTTCTCCTCATATATCGAAATAATTCCATTTTAATCATTTTTTCATTTTGATCGTTATTAATTCTGGAAGATTTATATATTAACTGTGTGATAAATATATACATTAGTCTATGAAGTTAATAGAACGCTAATATATATTAAAAATCGTACCCTGAAGATTGTGTAATCATTCTTTTCAATTCGTCAATGAAGAAATAATATTTTATGATATTTTCAGGTTTATTAATAATTTTTTCAAACTCATCTTGAAAATGTTTTCGAAAAATATATTCAAATCTCTCTGCATAATCGATTAAATCATATTGATCTGAGTCACAATAATATTTTACTATTATTTGGAATATAAAATTGTGTAATTCTTTCATACAATTTACGCCTATTTCTATAAAGTTTAATTTTTTTTTATCCTTCCCTTCATTCTCTTCAGATTCTTTCTGCTCATTTTCATTAGATTGTGTGTCATAAAATTTCTTCACAGAAGACCATCTGAAAATAAATCAAAATATATCTTAATAAACCTTTGTAAATTTCTGACATAAAGATTTTTATAATGTTGTCTCCGTAATGTAAAGGGGATTTTCGCGGGGAATTTTAGTGGAGAATACGGGATAAATACTGAAAAATTCCACAACCAAAAGATATCATGTATAAGTAATATTAAATCATACATAATTACATGCTAATTATTTTACAGAAAGAGGACAACCACATATACCTCGTGATGTTGTCAACGTTATCTTCTTGAGTGACTCTTACATAAGTTACATAAAGTTACCTTCTTTCTGTAAATTGGGAAAAATTTTGTTGTATTAAAAAAAATTCTGTCCGAAAATGGACAAAACATAATTACTGATTGAATCTACCAGAATTCTTTTTAATACAAGCAGTTTGTTTGCACAATAAATCAGTTGTTTGTGCAATCAAGATTCTTTTTGCATTAAAAGGAATTCTAATAAACTCAACCAGTAATTCTGTTTCTTCCATTTTTGAACAGAATTTTTGTTAATACAACAAGATTTTTTTTAGTGTACTTATTTATTACTTATTTTGTACATTTTATATTTTATAAATAATTCATATTTTTGTTATATTTTGGAAAACACTTATTCCAGAATTATTTTATTGTTTTTCCTGTATTTGCTTATCAAAAATACCTTTAAAGTCAAAATGTAAAAAAAATATCAAAGATGTGGAAATATTATCCGAAAAACAATTTTTCTGCAAAGTTTCAACTAATTTCACCGAAACCCAATTTCCGAATTAAGGAAATGATGGGGTCCTATATAAAACAAAAGTATTACCTCTGTAAAAGCTTTAATTCCTTGAATTTGTTATTTTTGGCTGCACATTGGAAACGCTTGCATATGCATCTGAAGTTAATTACGTCCTCAATAGTAATATCGCTATAGCTTAGAATGATGATTATTATCTCGTTAGGTAGATCCTCTATCGTCGCCATTACAAAGAAATTCAATATAACACAAGTTTATAATACAAATCTAAGTGATGGCAACAGATTATTTGTGTAATTAATTTTTTCTTGCAAAAACACATAAAATTATAAATTAAAATTAAATTATAATTAAAATATTACGATATTGCGTATGTATCTAGCGATTTAATAGAGCACAAGCACGTGTTTTATATCTGATCAATACAGACAGTTTCCACACGCTGTCCACTTCTATACTGAAACCTTTTGCTCTCTAAAGATCTGATTCGCTTTTCCCACTAGGGATATTTTTTTCACATAATTCACAAGAGGGAAGCGGAACCTAAGAAACAGGCAACAAAATATTTCCTTTTTACATTTGCGCGTCCAAGGGCCGATTTTTCTTGGTAAGTTTTACCCGACAGCATATTTTCCTCTCTTTTCAGATAAATTCTAAAAAAAGAGACGAAGATATGCCATCTGTTGAGTAAAACTTACCAAGAGTTGGAACAACCGGCCCTAAAACAGAAAAAGATAGAGAACTACAGAATAGGGGTGCGTTCCGTTATGCACTGCAAGTACTGGCACTATGACGTCATGCAAGTGTACTGTTGACAGCGTTCCTTTTTAATTTTGTGCACTTTGAAGCTACTGCAAAATAGTAAAACGGAACGCACTACAGTACGCTTTCAGCAGACTTTTAACTAACCTTTTTCGCTAATAATCATCGAGTGAAAAATTGGTGAAATGGATAATACCATTATATTGCATTAATTACATATAATTTAATCGAGAATATATATGATTCGAGTGAGTCATCAAGTGAAAGCGATTTGGAAATGGAATTAATAAATGAAATGAGACGACAAATTAAAATACCTAGAATAAAATGTAAAAATTACGTTAAAAATATTGTATCATTATATTCAGATATGGAATTTAAAAGTTAGTTCCATCGTACACATGGAGGTAGCCATCTTGATTACTGCGAGTGCTTTACCTCGCCGGTTGCAGTAATCGCAACAGGAAATAACGTCAAAATTAATGACGTCATATACTCATGATAGTACTTTCGCAGTGCACTGCTATCTATATCGGAACGCTATTGGTAGTACTGTCAGTACTTGCAGTGCATAACGGAACGCACCCTATATCGGAACGCTATTGATAGTACTGTCAGTACTTGCAGTGCATAACGGAACGCACCCTAGGTATACGACCGGTTTAGATTTCAAAATGTATTCTATTGTGTGATCGAGACAAAATTGCTAGACAAGATTTGTCCAGGCTATACCTGTATAATTAACGTCAGCATATTAAATGCTCTTATAATTTTGCATAACCAAATATATAGCAATTAGGAATATCGTTAAATACAAATCTCATATGAGAAAGATAGCATTTATTAAATAAGTAATTAATAACAACTTTTACATAGGTATATGCTCTTAATAAAGGAACACAAAATAATTATTTTAATTATTTTTTTCTTTCGTCTGCGATAGACCCTTCTCAACAATTACTCTAATAAAATAATCAATTTAAATTTTTGTACAAAGTTGAAAAATTATACTGACTACAAAGTTAGTATGATAAAGTTATATTGAGATAACATTTGTTCAACAAAAACTTTAAAGTAAAACTTTAAATTTTTCCGATAGATATTATTTATAAAGTCAAATAAAAAAATGTTTAGCGAATATTGATATTTTGTCGGAATATAAGCTATTGCGGTTTGAATTGACTAGAGTATATGGTTAAAATTAATATTTTAAATGATTAAACAAAAGTTGAACAAGATTTGAAGGAGTTGACAATTTTAAATGTAAGACGTATTGAATAAGTTTAATTTTTTAGCGAATAAAGCCATGCCTTTCACCCTTTGATTTTTTCATCGAATAAAGTCATGCCTCTTTTCTCTCTCTTTTCGGGAAACAAACGCTATTGTACAATACAACTCGCTACAGAATTCTCGTGTACACTTAATCCCGGAGAGCGTGATTTAAAGATCCTCTCGATGTCATCAAGAACAGAATCGACCATCGATCTTCACGTTAAACCGCCCTTGTTACTTAAACCATTATCAATCGTTGTTGTACCTGGTACCACGGTTTATCGGACGGACGATCTAGACGAGATCGATCGATAGCCGATCGCTATCAATCGATGTGACTCAACTTCCCGTCCAACTTGGTACGCAACCTGCGATTCGACGATTGAAATATATGTTCTCAAGCTTCCTTCGTCCGAGAACTTATTCTTGCATTGAGACCCTCACATCGTTTCGATTTAAATTCGATGTATATCGATTGATAAGATGCTGTCCTCCAATTATTTTATTAATTCTTTTTAAATAGTCAACTATATCCAAATTTTTATTAAGACTAACGATTAATTCTAGTCATGCATATTTACGCTTGCATAAATTATATATATTCTCTCTGGTTCCTTTTTTATCTTATCATCCATACATATTTGGCTACGCGGTTATATTTCAATCGCGGATGCGGGACTGTTTTCCCTTTCTTTGTCGCCATTTACCTCCAACTCTTTTCGATCGGCGCCAGGATACAACTCGTGCCAGTCGTGTTTCGGAGGCAGTCTGACCGCTATTGTTTCGATTGCAAATTTTTCGCGTGTACAAGTACCGGACTCGAAACGCCACTTCATGGGGGGTACATCGTGTAAATTCCCTTGCCCTGATCCTCCCGCCTCTATGTCTTGGCGTGTCGCACGAATCTCAACGACAAATGCACGTATTTGCTTACTACTGTTTGGCTAATCTGTTGAATGTATAATAGCCAAATAAATGGCGCAAAATATTAAATATTAACAATACTAACGCAAAATTTCATGTAGACACATAACAGGATTTTAATATCGAATTTAATCTCCTTTTTTCTACTTGAGACATTTACAAAAAAATTAAAATAATTATAATTAATATAAATATTATTATAATTAATAATTAATAAATATAATTATAATTAATATAAAAATAATGGTAATTAAAAATATCTATAGATATCCCAATATATCAAAAATAAAACTAACATAAATGAGTTATATATGCCTCATGAAATCTTTAGCCATTAATTAAATGTTTACGAGACACACAAACGTGTATTCACATATCTAGGAGATAAAAATGATCAAACAAACGCGCACACATTTTTATTTTTTATTCACTATATCCATTCTAATTACTTCTCACACGAGGGATGCATCGATCATTGTCTTTCCACTTGCATGGATCGCGGGGTCCGAAAGACGGACGGAGCCGACCAGAGGTCGACCTCTGATTCACCTCTCGGCACATCGAAAAACGCATTCTTCGAGTTCGACGAGCAGAACGGCTCGATGCGTCCCTCGTTCGACGAGAGGGGCTTAGAAATGGATGGCGCCGGAACATAAAAGTTACGGCTGTTGCACCCGCGTCGCCGAGCGCCTACATCAGGAACGCGAATCGCCGCTGGGCGTGCACACGTGACTCGGTTGCACGTTTGACATTGTTTGGTCGACGAGGAGGGTCCATTGTTTCCGGACCGTGCGAATCGCTTTTGGCCTCTGTGTTGTACCGCGACTCACAAATATTAATATTTGCGGGACAATAAATAGAGGAGAGACATTGTGCACTGAAATGCAGCGAGTTTGGCGCCATCCTATGAATCCGAGACACGAGCACTGCTGACAAAATCGTTTCGAGTTCTGATAGCTGATGTAAGGGTTTTAAAACACGAAATGTCTATCTTGTTTAAGAGGTTTCGAAAGCTTTTACACTATCACGATCATGCAGTTCAGAAATGCAATCTTTTTTTAATTCCTCGGCAGAGTGACAGATAATGTTTAATGGCACTTTATCTTTTTATCAGAGAATTTTTTTGATATCTATTTAAACAACATGTCAACGAAAATATTAGAGTCTTGGGAAGTATAAGGCTGTATTAAGTAATCACTTTTTTTTTGTTTGGCAAAGCACTATGAACAGGATATGTTAATTTTACTAATCGAGGTACATCCTGCCTCTTAATGCCTTAACACAGTTCATTACTTAATATCTTATCAGGAGACATAACGTCAGTGAGGCAGCTAGAATGTTAATTCGCTGGATAAAAAAAATAATGTTCTCTTACGTCTTAACTTCTTTTTTCAAGTCAAGTGTCAGGCGAAGAAATTGTGGATGCTGGTTTGGTTACAGTGATTAAGAGGAACGCAGCGGATACGTTTTCGCTGGATTCTGATAAGCAATCGCGAGTCCATTAGGACCAACGACGGGTTGTGATTATGCCGACAGTTATGTGTTACGAACAACGACACTGAGCAATAATTCTATCGGAACCGAGAATTTACGATCGAGTCGATGCATTTGCATCGGATTGTTCTGTGATCGTAACACTAAGTGAATTTTCGCGACCGGAGATACTCGCAGTACTTATTCAATGGAGATACTATATGTATATTTTCTCGGAAGTTGCACACTTTACTAAATAAAATATTATAAGAATTCTCTTCAAGTAGCACAAATAATATAAAATTTAAATAAAAATATAGCGATAACTCTTATCTCTGCCGTTGAAGAATATTTATGATATGCATATAGAATAAAATGCTGGTTGAATCTCATCTTTTTTAATTTTTAAAACATTTTCAATATAGACGGATATGTTAGAAACAAGCTATAATATATGTTATAATTTAAAGATCACACGAAATAAATTTTCTACCGTGACAAAGATAGATTTGTAGCTACCTTTTAATGTGTAAAAGGTTTGCACGAAGATAGCCGTGAAAATAGATATCCACGAAGAAGTAATTAAACTTGGTGGATATCTATTTCCACAAGGCTATCTTGGTTGAATAAAACTGAAGACGCGCAACCGTTCGTTATCGCGTCACTTGAGAACGACACGTCCTGACGAGGCGAAAAATTGGCTCTACCGGGGAGAGAGACTTCTCGTTGTCACGGCGACATTGTCTACGTACGGGATTTAAAACGCATACACATATACGCGCGATGTCTCGCCGTCGCGTCGGTTGCGGAAGAAAAAATCGGAGCGAAAGAACGAGCGGTCGCGAGGAAGGCGAACAACAGGAGAGTTTCAGATGGCCATTTAAGGCTCGGACATTTCGTTCTGTCACCGTGTTCGGTGTTCAACGTCGTGCGAGGAGGCCACCTACGCGTTGGTAGGATCCTCTCGACTGCATTGTTTTATAAACGCCCGTCGTTTCTCTGTGATAAGCAGAGTAAAACGAAACTGGGCACGCTCTCTCTTCTTCGCCGTAAAGCATACGCCTTCGCCACCGGTGACAGAACGAAATGTCGACTACGACAACGTCATTCCGTTTTTTATGGCTTTTTCTGCTAGTACTTTTTTCCTATCTTCGAATTTTTTTAATTATTCTGCTAAAGATCGCAAAAATTCCTTTGGCTGTTCAACAATGAATCCATTTCATTGACCATATTTATTTCTACATACGTTTAAAAATAATTTTCTATGACAAATTATTTTCTCTGTTTGAGTTATTATTACTACTTTTTTATTATTATATGCTTTAATTGTTTTGCAATTTATTATTTTTATTATTATTGAAGTTATTATTATCCTAAAGTATTTACTTCTGTTTTATTATTTTAAATATATTATAAATTAGCTATGAACAGTCAAATATTATAATTTTATATTTATATTCATTTAAAATCTTATATTAACTTTCCCGTGCATTTCTTATGTTACGGAAGATAATAATGCAATTTTATATTCGGACTGGTAACATAAAACAACTTGACCATAATAATCCCCGGTACCATTATTCACTGCGATTGAGATATCGCGTGTCACGCAGAGAGATGAACGAATGCAACGAATGCATCGCTGCGTAAAAATGGAATCTCAAGTTACACGCTTTCATCCGCATAGTATTTTTTCATTCTCTTTCTCTCCCAATGTACTTAACGCATCTTTCTGGTTTTCTATTTAATCCGTAGAAATTGCATCTTATTTCCTCGTAACGGCGTATCCTTCGCGTGGGCGATTGCATCCGCGCGTGGGTGCATCCCGAGAGAGTATAACGACATTGACACACAGTTAACACTTTGATCCCGGCGATATTTGCACGAAACCTTAGCAAATACCAAATGAATTTTTAAAGGGACTTTAATAGGTACAATTTTTTTTTCTTTCTGCAGTTCTTGTAAAATTTATTGAAATTTACTTATGCAGATCTCTTTATTAAATTTCGTTTATAAATTTTTTTATCAATGTAGACACTTTTTAAAATTTTGATTTCTTATTTTTTTGTAAAATTTTGATTTTTAACATTGAATATCTCTTAATAAATAAATCTTGATGAAATCTCATTAAAGCGAATGTTACTCGAATTTCGCAACACGAATAAACTAATCGCACATTAATATAATACATTATAATACATTATATATTGCAAAATACATGTGAGTGTTGAGCCAACCAATTGAACGATATAAAAGACAATATGTAAAAAAATTAATGAATAAAAAAATAAAAAATTATTTAATCCGAAAATTGCTTCTTGCTCTACTACTATATAGTGAACAACACGTTAAGAACCGATTATTTCCTTTTTACAGTACACTCGTTTAATTATTAGTTCTTCAATTATTGTTCTGAAAGTTAACTTAATAATTTGCACAAATAACAGAATAATTGTATCGATATCATTTTATTATGCAATAAAATGATTATGTAACATATCACAATAAATGAAACATATAATATAATAATTAAACGAGTGTATTGTAGAAAGCATATATATATGACATTAAGGAATGTGAAAAACAATACATATTATTGATTGTTCGTACAAATTTTGGATTTAAAATTTTGAATAAATTTATACTTATTATAATAAAATATTCTTATTATTATTATAATAAATTTAAAATTTTGAGTAAATTTATACTTATTATAATATATTGTTTTATATACATATATATGCAGCTATTTCTGCAGACTTATATATAGGATTAGGAGATTTATAATTTTTGCTTCAAACTTCAGCAAAATTATTCAATGAATAATACGGCATACATTTTGACAACATAAACACCATGATTTGATCTGAAAATACAATTGTGTGAAAACACCTCCTTCCGTTTTCTATCTATTATGAATCATATTGCACGATCTTATCACGAAATGTACTTGCGCATTGAGATTTTCTTGCGATCATTCATGTAGATCGCATTCATGTCGATTAATATGTATGCAAGCTGTAATCTTCACTACTTCAGCATTGCCGTTAGGTGGGTGCGTGGGAGTGCACCGTTACAATGCGTAAAACATAAATGCATCGACCAAGTACGATGGTTTATAAGGTCGCGACCTCGATTAAAAAAATTTGTTTTACCACAAGAAATTATAGCACGAAAAAAACGTCATAATAATTATAACAACAAAAATCTAATTAACAGATTAATTAATTATTTCTTTTCCATATTTAATATTCTCAAATTGCCTTGTAAATTTAAATTTTTCTGATATTTAATTAGCCTGAATATTTTTGCGTTTTAAGGTTTTAATTAATATTCTAGAATTTGAATTGAAAGAAATTTCTCTATTATTGAATGAACAAACTTCCTCGAATTTCACTTCAGTTTGATGGAAGATCGAATACAGTATCCGTTTCGTAAGAGTGGTAACTGTAGAAGTACTTTCGATACATTGCATGGGAATGACGGGCGCAAAGGGTCAACAGTGTTGAGTATGTCGACAATTTCGAGAGCCACTCGAGTTCTCACGTACCGATTCAACGAGATTCTTACACCGCGAGAGACGTTGTGTGAACCTCTCAAGATGGTTTCTCCATCTCTCGCCGAGAGTGTTACTTTAATAAGTTCCTTCCGAGAAATATCCCGTGTTCTGGAAAACATAAAAAAATAAATACGATGTTTATTCGCAGACAATGCAAATGAAATTCTCGCTTTATTGTGTACGATACATTGTATTTCCATTCTACAAAGTGGCTCATTCATTACGTCTCGCCTTTCGCGGATACAATTGAAATAGTACATCGATTTTTCCACTTCTCCACTCGGAGTCGAAAGTCGCCGACGTTGTACAAGTTATAGATTTTAGAAGAATGTTCTAAGTTACAGCGTCTAAGGTATTGTCGGTGCTGTTGTGTATCGGTTGCACGCCGTTTGCGATGATTAATTATTTTTGTACGGATATAAAGAGTCCTACCGAGAGACTCTTTGTTTAGCGCGGAACACCGCGATTCGCGCACATTTAACGCGCAAGACAAATGTTGCATGACAAAAGCGGTTACTTCTATTACGTATTGCAGTCATAAATAATGCATATTGTACGCGATACCGTGTAAATATTCTTTGGTGCGTGTACTTGCTACATTTACTGTCGATTTATTTTTATAACTCCGCATTCCTTCAATTTCAATCTGTTCGTTTTATTTTTTTTTTTTTTATGATTCTGATCGATTTATGTAGCTCAATTATAATTATTTTTATGATTTTTCAACATATTTGAAAGTGAGATATTTCACAAAATGAGATATATTTTATCCATTCGATTGAATTGATTTTTTTATTCAAGACATTGCTGCACTTCTTATCGAGAAGTCTCTATCGCGAAGGTCGTTGCAGATTCTCACACGTTTAATATGCGTGACGTGGCTGTGCAACGCGTGCAGTAAATGTACGGTTTGCATACATATATACGAGCGGTTGATTTATCGCTTAGGGCTCGTGCACTAATCTTATCTGCGATGTTATCTTGTAAATTTAAAAAAAGAGGAAAATTAAATTTTCGGGATCCATCCGTTTCCGGATCCCTGAAGATTATATGCGTGATCATTTACTACTTTTTTATTTTGTAAAATATTTCATTAAAAAAAAATATACATATATGTATATATAATATAATAAAAAAAAAATAATAATAAAAATACATATACTTAATAATAACGACAATCGAGAGAGAGAAGGCTAGCAAAAATGTTATAAGAGATAAATGAAAATTCTGCTTTATAAATTATTATCATAAAATTATGAGAAAAATGTAAATTTTATAATTTCACAATTTCTTATAATTCAGAATAAAAAAAGAATTCGCACTAACAATTACTTTTTATTTATTTCAGAATAGCGAAAGAGTTTTTATAGGAGCACCGGGCAGTTGGTATTGGCAAGGTAAGGTTTTTTTAATCAAATTTTCACTTATGTAATAATGTCTGTACATATCTTAGGACGTATGTGAATACTGGCCAAGAATCTTTCTTTTAAGTTAACATCGATGTATATTTGTATATTATTTTTCTTTTTTCAATAAATTTTTCTAATCGACGACGTGGTGCGACTGAACAACAACGGCGAAGCGGATGTTGATTAGCGTTTAGAGAGCGATTAATAGATCTGATTAATAATTCAGAGGGGAATTTCGTTTAATAAATTACAGGTCAGATATATTCGATCGCCACCGCCATGAGATTGAAGTTTGTAGCAACGATGTATATCACCGAAGCCGAAGCATCAGGTATCGCGTACATTTGCAGGCCCCTTGTAACTAAAATACTTTTTACCTTTTTGCCCCCACCTCTCATTTCTAATAAGTAATAAGCCTATTATTCTCTCGTATTGACGATTTTTTATATGCCAAATTAACAATGTGTTTTGCTTGTCGGCTTTTTCCGCGAATGCGGAAAATCAAATTATTCAACCGAAAGCCGACAATAAATGAAATTTGCGTTAATCACAGGAAAACGTCTTCGGAGGCAAAAGAGTAACTCGAGAGAATATTTTCCACCCTCTTCACACTTGCTTGGCAGTAACTCTAATCATTTGTCACTTAACATGACGCTTGTTATTAATCATATAATTAAAATCGATGAATAATCACATTGAAATAATCAACCCGTTCGCAAACTTGAAAAAATGTATTAAAATAAATTAGCTACCCAGTCATTCCCTATATGTGATTGGGATAATTCAGGCTCTCTCTCTTACTTTAGACATAATAGATTAAATACAAATGAGAAATTTAACAAATATTAAAAAACTGTTTCTGTGCTTTGTTTTTCTGACGAATAAAACTCGACCGTAATTTTGACTATTAATGCGCTCTTTTTTTAATTACTGCCAGATAAGTGGTGGGTGATTTCTAACAGGTGCGGGCCCGCTTCTTACAGCTTCAGCAAGTTACAGATGCAGCAAGAGCCGCGGTAAAATACGGATATCCAACTAGAAAGCTATAATACCTTTAATCGGTTGGAGAGTTTGCGCCATAGTTGCTACATAGTAGCGACTGCTTGACATTAATAGCGAAAACAAATGCTAGATTAATGATAGAAAAGCTTGTCATTCCCGTGTTTAGCACATGTTATTTTCACAAAGCCTTGTATATAAAATTAAATATATACGTATATGTATATATGTATATGGTCTCTTTTGTAAATTAATATGTTGCAGAGAAAATAAAAATAATTTTGTTTAATCAACTTGTATATAACGCGATTTTAATATGATACAAGATTTTGTGAAAGGATTTGTGCGAGTTATTTCCTGACTGCAACAAAGACCGAGAGCCTTTAAAGGATTTTCGATTATGGCAGCGGTCATGAATACGCCTGCATTTTCTATCAAAAGATATCTCTTATTAATATCATGTAATCGTTTTATAGGACAAGCGTTTTCACAGCCTTTGAACAATCAATCGAAAGTAATGTTCACCAAAGAGGGTCCTGCGAAAGAGGATGATAGTTACATGGGTTATTCCGTGACGACAGGAGATTTCGTTGGGAATGGCGATAGTGGTACAGCAATCGGAGTTCCACGTGGTTCCGATCTTCTGGGCAAGGTGTGTAACAAAATACAAAAATATAATAACAAAAAACTAATAATCTTGTAAGAATCGTAATTTCAAAGGAAAATTTTAATATCAACTCAGATGTGCAAGAATGTAAATATTTTCACAGTGTATACAATTTAATAATCTTCTTTAAAGTTGAGAAATGTAAAGTATACACATCGATTCGCACAATTCTAAAATGCGAATGTACACAGAGAGAATTTTCTCTTCGAATTTATTTTGAACATCATGATAATCATAGGACATTATGGTATTGGAAGAATTTTGTAAGAGTTTCTCTTATAAAATTTGCCACAATAAAAAATATTAATATTTACCACATCAAGATATAAAATACGTTTGATTAATTTTACTATTAATATAGTAACATTTATTATGTACATATTAACATTTTTTATTGCGGTAAATATTATTCAGAGAGACTCTTATAAAATTCTTTCAATGTATTGTCTCACGATTATCATGATTTTTCAAGATAAATTCTACAAAAAAATTCTCTCCGTGTATGCAAAATAAATATTTTAAGATGTGCAAGAATACAAATATGTGCACAGTACAATTTAACAATTTCCTTTAAGAAATGCGAAGTATACATATAAGTATAAAATTTTTTATTGGATTTCAAACACATTAACGAACATTTAATTTTGCAGTAAAGGTAAAATTTAAATGCTCGTAGGTAATACTTTTCACATCAAACATGACGAATCCTCGAAATCTCACTGGCGAACAAATGGGCGCTTATTTCGGTTACGCCGTGGCTTCCGGCGATATAGACGGAGATGGGTTGGACGACCTGATAGTCGGTGCACCCATGTACACAATCCCGGATAATCCGGAAATGACCATCGAGACCGGAAGAATCTACGTTATCTATCAAGGCGATAGCGCGGAAAAATTCCGCAAATTCGATATAAGGTAGCGAAACTTCACAAGTACTTTAAGAAGGAGAAAAAAATCGTGTATTATACATTTAATATAGAATACATAACATAAAATGGGGAAGATTTCCACAATAAAGTGGCAGAAGCGCTCGTACATTTCTGCGTTATTCCTCAAGTTCATTAACGATTCTGACTCGAAAGATTAAATGAGCCCTGCATCGCCCTGCGTCAGTTCGTTGAACCGCGGCGATAAAGTTTATCGTTATCCAGAGACGGCGAGAGCAATCGCGGACGTTTCGGCTTGTCACTGGCTTCTCTGGGGGACATCGACCGTGACGGTTACGGTGACTTCGTCGTCGGCGCGCCCTACGCTGGTCCGAATGGCCGCGGTGCCGTCTACATTTATTACGGCTCACGAACCGGTGTATTGGAGAAGTATTCCCAGGTGATCCACGCGGAGGAACTGGACAATCCGGTGCAGACCTTTGGATTTTCGGTGGCCGGCGGCCTCGACCTCGATGGTAACGTCTATCCGGATCTGGTGGTCGGTGCGTACGAGTCGGCAACAGCGATGTTCTTCAGGTTCTTATCCATTTTTTCCTTCATTTAAAGCTTGTCAAGAATGTCTTTGATGATGAGTTTTCAATAAACTTTATGTTCTTCAGGTCACGACCAGTGATCAAGATGGATTCTTACGTGACCTTCGACTCTGAATCCAAGTTAATCTCCTTGGATAACAGAAACTGTACGCTTTCGGATGATACCAGGGTCACATGTCTTCCACTTAGAGCTTGCTTTAGATATTCAGGCGAGGGTGTTCTTACGAGGCACAATTTTAATATACAGTATGTACTCGATGTGAAGAAAACGAAGAATCCGAGGCTGTTCTTCCTTGAGTTGGAGGGCAAGAACACGATGAATCATACGATCACGGTCGAACGCGATCGGCAGTTCTGTCGCACGGTTCAGGTAAAGTGTTTGTTTGATTTTAATATTGTATAACATCATTTCTCTTTGCAAGAGAATACAAGAGACTTGCAACTTGTGTATTATTTTGAAGGTCTACGTGACACCGAATATTCGTGACAAATTAACATCGTTGGATGCCGAGATGCGTATGAGTTTGGAAGAAGAACGAATTCCGGACAATCGCCGTCGTGATCCCAGAATGCCGTTGCGACCAGTCCTTGGAGTGACGACCTCCCGGAAAGATACTCTCTCTATCAGAAAGAATTGTGGTCCTGACAACGTCTGTATACCTGACTTACAACTCAGTGTGAGATCTAACGTTGGCAGATACTTACTGGGCTCTGGCAAGAGACTGGAGCTTGAAGTTCTGGTGCAGAACGCGGGCGAGGACGCCTTCGAGGCAACGTATAATTTGCAGCTACCGGCTGGCATCGATTATATCAAGATCGAGCGTATCGAAACCCTGGAGATTCCCGTTCACTGTTCCGCGCCCAAGCAATCGAATAACAATACTCTTCGCTGTGATATCGGAAATCCACTGCCGCAGAATAAACTGGTGAAATTCAAGGTGCTACTTCAACCTGTGACGTCACACGGGATGAAACCCATCTATGAATTCGACATGCAAGTCAACACTACGAATCCCGAAGACTACATCAAAACCTATGACAACAGCCAGCATCTATCTCTGCCGATCTGGATAGAGACGGATTTGCGTGTCGACGGCGAAAGTAAACCCAAGGATCTGTATTATAATCCAGACAATTACACTGCCGTGAATATTACGACGGAACTCGAATTTGGCCCAGCGGTGACGCATAATTATACGATTCGCAATCAAGGCCCATCAGATATCATTGAAGCCGAAGCATTCCTCGTGTGGCCCGCGCAGACTTTATCCGGGAAAGAACTGATGTACTTGTTGGAACAGCCAGAGACCGCGGGACCAATCGCTTGCGAACCTGCTAATGCAAACTATCTTAGTTTGAAGGTATGTATATAAATAATTAAAAATATTTTTTTTAATTATATAAATTATGATATAAATTATAATTATAAATTAATTATAATTTGGATAAAATATAGTTTTATAATTTAATCAATTCTTGAATGTAAATCTTAATAATGTATTGCAGTTGGATCAACGCAGAAGAGTGCATTTAAATTACCCCGACTATTCCGGCGTGATCCTGGACGAATCGCAATCAGGCAAGACGATCAACGTTCAAAGAGGCTTCGAGGTGGACCGTAACAAAGCGAGCAAGAATGAGGAAACCGAGATCAATAGCGGCGATAGTTCGAATATTCAAAAATCACGACATTCTTCCTCTTCGTCTTCCTCCTCTTCCTCGTCGAGCGTCACCGAAACTAGAAGGATCCAACTGAATCCATCGGGAGAGAAACCTGACGTTCTCACTACGACATACACGCACAACGCTTCCGGAACTAGTTCGGTCGGTACCGGTAATTTGTCCAGCAATCGTGGAGTCGTTTTCCACACAGAATCCAGTAGTGGTTCCACAACTTTGGGAGGGGGATTCCGCGAATCCGAAAAGGAATCCTTCGGCTCTCGGAGATTACCCGATCTTGAAGAGCCTTACGAGACTCGCATGAATCATTCCATTAGAGTAGAAAATCGTTGGGAAGAAAGCGATACACAAAGTGGACGTACGACCTCATCTTCGGGAAGGTTTGATTCGGGTTTGACTGAGAGCGAGAGACGATATCAAGATCTATTGAGACAGCGGGAAGAAATTCGCTTACGCCAAGAAGAGGAGGCTCGTCAGAGGAAGCTACACGAGGAAACACGACTACGTCAGAGAGAAGAGCAGGAACGTATCATCGCTTTGCAACGTCGTCGAGAGGAAGAGGAGCGTCGGCAGGAAGAAGAACGACTTCGAGAAGAAAAGGAACGACGTCGATATGAACACGAACGACGAGAAGAAGAACGGCGAAGACAGCAAGAAGAACGACGCCTTCAGGAAGAGCGGGAGCACAAGTACAACTATAACGAGGAAAGGCGCCATGGCGGATTTGGAGATGATCGCCATCAAACGGAAGATTTCATCACTGGCGATCGCGAAGAGACGGTTGGAGGACGAGAATTTGGTTTTCGTTTGCAAAATGTGAGTTCCACGCAAGAACTAGACCGATTCTTTGGTGCATTGACGAAAGACGCGGCTGGTTATAAGATATATAACAAGCAAGGACAGCAGTATGTACAGTTCAAAGCGAGATTCAGGACATCTGCCGACTGGAAGGAATACATAGAATTTGAGGACGGCTCTATGTTCCCTCTTCAAGATCATTACGGTGAACAGAGTTATGTTACAGAATCCACGGAACCTCGCGACAATCGGTTCCTCAGAATAGAAGGTCAGCTGCTTATCACTCCGGATGGTAAAAATTATATCTCTCTAAAAGATGGCCGAAGGTTTCCTCTTCAGGGCTCTTACACGTACACCGAAGAAAGAAGATATACATTAAATGGTCCGCATGACGGCTACGCTGACAATCAGGATGAGAGGACTTACAGTCAATCCTGGCAAGAAGAATCTTCTGATCGTGGTGTAACTTCGGACGGAAATTACGAAACCAGGTACAATACACGTACACACGAAGAGAGACGAACGAAAGAGCAAACAAGCAATACGAGAGTCTACGGAAGAAATGATCGATTTAATCGGGATCGAGCTAACGTTGATTCCTTCACCGAGAGACCGGACTCCGATCTTGTGGGCTCGAGACACAGGCGCGAGAGCGACATGATTGACGTTCAGGAGTTCAGGAAATTCGAGCGACTACACAGGCATCGGCGAGATGTCGAGACGGATGACCCATTAAATGAACCTGCATTTCAGAATGAAGATTATTATGAGGACGATCCCGAATACCAGGAACCAGTACAGCCCTGTGACGCAGCAAAATGCGTGATGTTACGATGTGTGCTGGGTCCATTGAAAAAGGATCAAGAGGTCTGGATCGGCGCGAGGTATCGCGTGGACGCTAGGACCTTGAAAGAGGTGGCCTTTAAGGAAAAGGTGAAAGTGTCGACGAAGTTGGTGGCACGTGTCACGAAGCAACCATTTATCGGTACGCCAGCCGAACAAGTCATCAAGAGTGATGAAGTTATCACGAACATCGAACCCAGCGCACCACCTTCCGCTCCGGACATTATTCCAGTATGGGTGGTAGTTTTATCGGCCTGCGCAGGAATGATAATTCTCTTGCTACTCATCTACTTGCTTCACAAGGTTAGTAATATAGAACAAAAATCAAATAATTTAACAAATTTTTTAAAATTGTTTTGTGGAGAAATTTTTATTTAGTGATACTTAAATTTTGCTAATCTTATTCAGTCTTTCAATATTGATATTAATGCTTGATTATTTGGAGATAAAATTGATTCATCAATCTTGTTTATTATTTACAGTGCGGTTTCTTTAAGAGGAATAGGCCCTCTGACGCTCCAGAAAGACAACCGTTGAATCGAAACGGTCATTTTCAACAAGGCGAGGATCACTGAAGTTTTTGACTTTCTGGCTATATTGGATTTAGTCGCAGACGAGAAAGCTCGCTGTGCGATCGAAAAGTGCCTTAGTTCTTTGATAATCGAGAGAATGCATAATGTGCATGAATTCTTTCGACGTAGTCTGCAGAGACGCGGTCCTGAATATCTTAATAGCGTTCAACAGTGCCTTAATCCACTGTTCAAGATGAACATCTGCTGAGGCGCATGGATTCTGAGTGACGGTTTGTCACTCTTATACTGCCATTGAATACTCCTTCCAGCTCCTGCAGCTCGACCACGCAAGTTTCTAGTCAGGAGACGTTTTTCTTTTTTTTTTTAATTATCTGTAATTACTTAAGCCGCGCGTATAGTCGGCAGATACGAAAATATTTCGACATTCTTCGGTGAATCGTATCTTCATGTATATAAGTATATATATATTATTTTTTTTATCGTTTTATCCGGTGGTAAAGCGCCTTGATGCGTGCCTCGTTGCTTCCGCTGCCTTTTTACGATAAAATAGAATTAATTATTTTTTTATCCGCGTCCAATCGGCACGATCTCTAAAACGTATCGCCGATGACATCTCGAAACTCATTCAGTGTCGAATATCACGAATAGATTCTTCCGTAAAGCTTCTTTCATACAAGATGATGATCGAACGTTGTATGTCGAGACAAATTAAATTTACACATCGTAAAAGAGGTTTTAATTTTGCGGACGTCTCCTTTTAGATGTTTCTTCCAAGTTATTATATTATTTGAATGATCTGTTGTTAGCAGCATTTGAAACATTACTCACAGACTGTTTAAAAGGAGTCTATAAATCTTTCTTGGAAGCAGCCTCGAAGGCATACGGGGCTCTTTTGAATTATTTATTAAATTTCTATGTTATATATATATATATATATATATATATATATATATATATATATATATGTTTAAAATATATATATATATATAATACTAAATAAACACGTATGTTGAGCGCCGTAACAATAGCGTGATTTATTACAGTCGCGCGCACAAGGCAAATGTGTGTATAATTTGTAAATTATTAATTTACATTACTAAAACTATACCCACTAAAAGTGATTTAATACAATAATATTCGATTAGAAAGGAGACTTTCTAGTATAAATAGGAGATTAGTGCTGACTTATTGTACATACTACGTTAAGACATAATAATATGAAAAATATATATATAATGAAATTAACATCATTATTATGCTAATTGTTTTCTAATAAAACTGTTAGGCACAGTTAAAAAATTCGTGTTAATTTAACAAATATCACATATCCCAAACGGTCCACAGAAATTTTTGTATTAATTTAACATAATATAGATATGTTAAATGATGACACGAATACTATGTTAATATTTTAACAGTAAATGCAAAATTTCAAGTAATTTAAAATAAATTTTTGTAAAGTTAACATAGTTTTAATGTAATAATTAATTTAAAAAATGTTAATTTTACACTTTTATCATCCCCACATAAAATAATAAATCAACATTTTTTCTATAAATTTTAACAGATAAATCTTGTAATTAATAATACGGAACATATTTATTGTGCACAATTAAAAATAGATGCACATTTTTACACTTTTGTCCAGTTGTTTTAACATTTAAGTTCAATTAACACAAAAATTTTAACGGGGATCGTTAATTTTAACAAAAATTTTCAACTGTGAGGGAATAGCTTCGATTAATACTAGCAAAAAAAAAGAAAATTATATAGAATGTGAATTTGTATAACTATTTATTGAAAAATTACAATGATGTAACAGCGATCATAAAAGAACCGTTTGATTATCATCAACATCAACTATCTGTACTGTATATTGATTGATCGCTTTGACTGGTTTCTGTCTAGAAACCAATTTATAACTTATCGTACGTAAATTATAAGAAAATTCAAGATATAAAAAATATATATATATATGTTTCATTAATCTCGTCTTTTTTTGTAATAGATTTGGATAATATTCTCCGCATTTTTTCATTGATAAAATTTATATAAAAATAATCTATAATGAGAGTACAATTGTCAATTTGTAAAATATTCTACCATTTTCATTAGTAGGTTTTTTCGCGTTTCGAGAACTTCGCATGGACTTCAATGAACAATTGTTATAAATGTAATTGCAAAAATGACTGTTTTTGACGATTTTTGTGATTGCGTGGTATGTATGTATACATATGTATGTGATCGAAAAAATTGAAGTTTCTCTGTTAAGATAAAACAAATACCTTATAAAAAAACCTGCACGAAATCCCGCTCCATAAAATCGTACAAAAGTTTATGCGCTAGAGATATAGTACGTATAAAAGGAAACTGTGAAATATTATGCATTTACGAATAACACGTAATTCAATTATTGCTACTGTACTATTTACGTCTATACCCGGCAATTGTTTGAAGATGAATCGGAATGTGGAATACATTATCATATTTTTCACATGGGATACAGTATGAACAATAAGAAATTAGAGTGAACATTCTCTCGGGCAGTGCAACATCGTTACTGCTCCTCAAAACGCCAATATGTTATATTAGACAATATATACAAATTCGCGTTTCCTGCTTAAAATGGTAAAATTCTATTTAAAATCACGATCAACAATTTGTTTCGTTTTATTCAATTTTCCTAATGGACTATCGACAAGACGGATAATGATCCGCGATTTGACGCATTTTAATAAAAAGTATACACCATACATTCAGTAAATGGTTGCAACAATGATCTAACACGCGAGTAAAAACGAGAGGGATACTAAACGAATACCAATATTTTGGTATTTGCGATTCTTTCAGTTTTACGATTATCACGGTACACCTGGTCTTAAAATTTCATTTAATAATATTACATGTGCGTTGAATGAACCTCCTTATGGATCATGAGTATGTAACCTTGTCCTCAGTATTGGACTAAATATCGACATTTTTTATCAAACAACGTGAACAGCACCCGTAGTGTTACCTTTCAATGATATTAGACAATGGACACATGAACATTTTTGTTATCATCTAATCGTCATTATCGCTATTGATTCGGTCATTTATATCCTTATAAGTATTATCCTCATATCAGCTATCGGGGACCTAAATCAAACAATATGTAAGAGAATAGATTTAATGAAATGAATTGACTTACTAATAAGATTTCCTTTATCCTTACTTTCCACTGTAATTGGGTGCCCACTTCGTAAAGTTCCTTGAGCGTTTCCCTCAGGGTGCCACAGCTTTCCAGTTCTTTGTACTTGCGATACAATTCTAAGGCGGCTCGCGCGTCCTCGGCCGAATCGTGAGTTTCAGATTGAATTTTTTTACCCAAAAAGTGCCAAGTCAGGAAACGTAATGACACCATACGATGATGAGGTAAGTGGAATAATAAAACTGTATCTACTATTTGCTCCGGCGGCACTACCAGATTTATTACCCTAAAAAATTCACATGTAAATAAATGCTAATGAATCACTATCGTAAATAGCAGTGTGTAAGTAGTGCTTTACCTAAAATCATTTTTTAGACCATGCCCGACGAAGATTATGCCATTGTCCACTAAAAACCTCAACTTTTGATACGTCGATTTTAGAGTGGTGAGATGTTTGCTACTAAAGTTTGCATCTAAATCACCCGGTTGTATCCCACTGAATTTTGTTAGATAATCGACCACCTGTTCTTGAGTGCTTATATAATCGTCTATAAACGGTGTGCCTTCCAATGGACCTTGTCTATCATAAAAAAGTTGAAAAAAGATGGCAATTTAAAATTTTGCAAATATCATCATTAAATGCACTTCTTAAAAGTGCTTTCTGTTTACAAAACATTACTACTTAATAATAATTTATACAGCGCATACCCGCGTATACAAGTAATTCGCGCTACAGACATATGGCTTGGTTTTATAGTCGACATTTTTCCATCACTCCGCAACTCGGATTCTTCCTGATTTAAAGTAACGAACTCTGCATCGATCCCTACCAATTCTCCTATAATAATAATAATAATTCCAACATTTTCAAGATTCATTGTAAAGAATTAAGCAAGACTCACTTGGTCGTGTTAAAGTTGCAAAAAGAAACATATTTACCTTTCTGAGGCATTTCATCCGATCCTAGAGGAGTAAATGTTATGCCTCTGGTTCCGCCACTGCGTGCAATACACTTATCTTCGCCAAACACATCATATGTAAGGGGACTGACGTATGGTGCTGGCTCGGGTGCAGGTATCGCCGTGTAATAGAGTACACACGGCACTTTCCAATCGAGATTGAACCATACTGCTTCTTGCGGTGTTACCGGTGATATACTATAACAAATTCGATATTGTAATAAATTAGTGTTAAAGCACAGATGCGCATTTGTTCCCTAAACGACTCACCAGAAATCATTGAAAATGTACCACTGCCACACGGGGTTGCCTGACGATCGTACATGATAATTTGGTCCAACTCGCAACAACGCTACAATGTTTCTCCGGTCTTCGTTACTCTTGTCGTCGATATAACAGACGACAGCACTGAGACTGTATTGTATTTTTTGAATATTATTAGAGATCTCTGAATTTGTACTTTTCGTCTCGCCTACCTTCGCGTTCAATACTATATTACAATTTTCGACGTTGTTACAATCTTCGTCATTATTGTCTTCGACATTGTTGTCGGAAACTGTTCGTATTTTGTCATTTTGGCCGTTCTCCATTACATTTGTTTGTGCGGACGTGTCATTCAATTCGTTTCTTAATTCACTAACTTTTTTAACAGACATCTCACCTTTTTCCTCAAGGGAGATTTCTATGTTGTGAGGTATCCAGGAATGCGAATAATATAAATGACTAGGGGGCGATGTAACAGACGCTGAGGTAGATGCCGAGGTAGACGGAGTAGAAGGCGACGCTAATTTCTCTGTTTCTGTATGATTAATAATACAAAGTTTATACGGAGCAATATATCCTCAAACCTATGTATATATAAAATTCAACATTTGCGTACCTGATTCGCGACCAACATGCCTGAATCGACATCCAACTCGTGTACAATTATTGCCATATCGACAGGGTTTCGCAGTAACAGGTACAGGACTGGAGCTGGGACTACTCTCCTTCCCTGCCAACACATTTTGCACTACGAAGTCCATCTGAGTTTGCCAAAATGCCTTATCCTATAACAATTCAGTCTTAGTTAACTTATTTGGATTAAAGAGACGCAATGCGACTTCATATGTTTATTTGATTCTGTATGCGCTATAATCTAATCTTGTGTTGTAAGTACCTCTGGAGTATCTAAACCGCAATTTAGGGCCAGTATTTGAGGTAGTTTAGTCAATTGTCGAGACTGGAGAGTAGGTGTATATTTCTGGCAACTGTCACACCATGCGGGTGTAATTTTCTCAGGTCTTAAACTGCGGGCAAGAACACTTGTGAACGGTACCTCTTCAGCTACAAAAGGTAAATCTTGTATTCAGGCCTGATTAAGCATTAAGCTATGACTGTACGAAAAGTTAGTGTTGAGCGTGTACAAGATTCGAAACTTCGAAATTGTATTTCTATAAGTGCATTTCAAGCATTGTATTACTATTTATTGAATTTTATTATTTATAAAATGTAAAGATTGTATCGTCATTCAATCTTTTTATTTTCTTATCTTCAAATATTTGAATTCATAAATAAGCAATCAAAGTTTCTAATCTTTTTCACGCTAGACTCGCTTTCCATTCAGCCTTAGATATTTATTACTTTAGAGTAGCTTACAAGGATTGACTATATCCGGATAAACTAAATGACAAAGTAACATGATGGAATGTTTTGTAGCTTCTTGCCCACATTTGAGACAGCGATGTATGTGCATTTGTTCAGATCCAAATAGATGACTGATCTCTGTTTCATCATCTCGCACTTCATTCTCTTCAGCAGACTTTTTGGTGTTCTTATCTACCCGTAATAAATGCGTATTTAATAATAAAATAAGCGAGCATTATTATTAAAACATTAATCGCAATTAAGTAAAATTTCGTTCAGCGAATACGATAAACGTTGAATATTTTCACAATAATATTTAGTTATTGATATTCTTTATGTATATAATTTTTGATGTTTTGTAACAATTTATTAATTTAAATATATTTCTATTTATTTAAAATTGTCTCGCGTTTTTCTTAAAAAGTTCGTATATAGAGTTCGATTTTTCTAAAAATGAAATAATACAAAATAGATATCATATAAAATATTTATAAAATCTAATTATTTTCTTAAATATTAAATATTTTAACACAATTTAATATCATATTGATACTTTTAACATACATTAATGCCAATAATATATTTTAAAATACCAGAATTCTTGTAAAAGCAAGATCATGCAACATGTGGAATGTAAGGTACAAGGGGCTGGCTATTCTTCTTACTATAAAAAAATATATAATATAAAATAAAGTGTTATAAGGAGTAATAAAAAGCATTTTATCGTAACTTACTTGATTTAAGATCAATATATATATATATATATATATATATATATATATAAAATTATGTCTAAAAAAATATGCGTATATAGAAAGCTTCAGTGATATCCCAAGAATACGAGATAATAAAATAGTAAAATATCTTATTAAAATAAAAATAAATATTTTTGTAATCATCATAGAGATTGTGCTTACAATACTAATTGCATAATCTTCATGCTTCTTGTTATTCTTCGGATATATTACTGCAGCCTTGGATCAAATAAATAGGTAAAAAAATCACATAAAAATTGAAAAATAAACACAAAAGTGCCCAGTGCAAAGGTTACACATAAATTGTGTTTACCTTTCGATGTGATCCACATATATTTACCATCCTCCTCCTGTTTCCTCTTTTTTTTCCTTTCGTCATCGTGGCTTCTATATCGAGAACCGAGATCCTCAAGAATACTAGGGAAATCCTGTTCGTTATAAACAAATGGGGGATATTTAGAGCTCGATTTAAGTCGCGCTGCCTCCTCTTCTTCCTGTTGCCGCTTCCTAGTTGCCAGTATTTCGTAGTGCATTTGATGTAGGATGAATCTATTCCAGCTCTAACACAAAAAATTTGCATATTATTAATAATCTTTGTAAGAGTTTAGTTTGTAATCTATTTTTTCACATTAAAATATAAAAAATATAATATAAAAATTTATACATATATTTATAATATATCTGAAATATTTAATTAGACAAAAGTTATTAAAATATATAACTATGTAATTTACGCTCTTTATACATCAAATCTTTTAATCATCATACTTGTATAAGTCTAATCAGACTGATCTTTTTTTTAGCTTCTGGATGCATGTCGCTCAATATGAGTCCTAGAGCTGCCGCTTCCGGTACTGTCCTAAAAGCCCTTAAAAAATTCGCAGCTTGACAGGGTAATCCTCGTGATATATCCATCATGTGAAATAAGAACCCCAATTCGCAGGAAAGACAAAATTCTCGTTGGCACGAATGTGAGAGCAATGCTATTCTTATAGGCTCGCAGTAGTAGAGCAACTGTAAAGTACGAATATATGCGTCTAACACTTGATCTATTTATTCCCTGATTTATTTGGATCTCTATCGTTTTGTCAAATTGCACTTACCTGAAGCATAGCATTGCAATAACTATTAGGAAGAGTAGCCTCCAGGCCGCAAAAGCTGGTTCGATTATATTGATCGAAATCAAAATCGTCGTAACCGAGCCGTGAATATTTCAACTCAATTTTACGATAACGTTTAGGTATAGCCACAAAGGTGCCATCGTCTGTTTTACACCGTGAGTCTCCCGCGAAAGGTTTCGTGGCTAAGCCACGTCGTTTTTCCAAATCGTACGGTATCTGTAAAAGAGGTATTATTTATTTTTATTTCATTAAAAATGATAATCTTCGGATAATCTCTACAATTTTTATCGTGAAATCATACAGTTTCATGGGGTAGAAAAAATATAATTTTCAATTGTGAAAAAATAAATAATACCTATTGAAAAAAAGAACGCCTTTTCGAAGGGAACTAAACTGATAAATGCGGCGCATCATATTAAAGTTACGCATATAGTTGTACGTGTTTGTCATTATACAACCTTTATTATTTCACTCAAGTACAACTTCGAGATTATACATTTCATGCGGAACATATATTCTATGTATATAAATATACTCTAATAGCTTATGAAATGATTATTGAGCGGAAATCATGAAACAAAAACAAAAATATATCGATCACAAATACATTGTGCGATATTGCAAAATTGAAGGCAGTAGAGTATCACGCTGGTCGATAATGTATAGGAATTGTGGAAGTTTTCGGGAGAAGATATATTGAAATATTTATTCACGTTTCTCTTCTTCTTTACGTGGGGCATTCTGTAAATGTCAACACAAATAACTATAAAAGAAATCTTATACTATCAATATAATATTCAATGTATGTTTTTTTCTTATTAAACGCTGCTGCGCGTAAATTTTTTTCTGAAAAATATATTTTTTAAATATTCCAAATAACTATAACATATAAATTTATATGAAAACAAGTATACCTTTGTAAAGTGTTTCTCTGTAAAGCAAGGATAGTTATATAATTTGGTAATCAGTTAAAAACTAAAAATTTTCAGCTTTATGTTTATAATATGCTTTTCAATAGTAGATTAACAAACAAAAAAAAACAATTATTTTAATATGTATAAATCCATAATAATAGAAGACATATATCATGATAAAAATTTCACATATCAACCCTCTATTGTGCCACACATATTTTTCTATATATTTGGACCAATAAAAAAAATATATGTATATATATTTAGAATTTTCTTATAATTGTAATGCAATGTATTCATATGTCATATATGAATATTTATGTAATATTTGATGTATCTATAACAAATACATTCCTATTATATATATTATTTCATTTGTAAATTGGCACATTGTCAAGAATATTGGATCCCTAAAATTGGATAATCAAAGAACAAAAATTTGCTTTTCAAATTTAATCTTAAACACATATAGAAATATACCTTTGCATGTAATCATTATTTTTCAATTTTCACATCTATATGTATAAACGTAATATATAAATGTTTAATTAAATAAAATATAAACTTCTGCGATGTGTTATTAAAAGAATAATTATATAATAAAGAGAGATATTAATTTTGAAAAAGAAGTTGATATTTTTTAAATTAATAGTGAATGATGTGATAGTGATAATCTGACAATAATGATGTGACAATATTAATGTAACACACAATATTAGTATTTCAATATTAGTATTCCATTATTTTTAAATACTTTTCCTCTTATATAGAATATATCATAAATTGATAACATGTAAAATAAAATAATGAGAAAAGCCAAAGATGTTAACTCTTGAACTCACAATGCATATTTATATACTTGACAATAGTTCGTTTTTTCCTATATTGTAAAATTAGAATACATTGGACTAGCTTATGAAAATATATCGCATTTTTTACAGATTAATAATTATCATGAAATGTTATCAGTCTTAATCACATTATAGCAAAAAGATTCTCCTTTATCTAAAAAATTAATTTTTTCAATTATAGTGAGCCTTAATCTCTTCATGTTATAACAATGAATTGTTTCAATTCATCATGCCAAACTCAAAAATTATCAAAAATAAAGAAGCCTATTTGTGTTAGTATATCTTTCAGAAATATACATATATGTATAAATTTAGATAGCAATTTTTAATAATATATAGAAGCAATAATTAAATTCAATCAAATCAAATCATAAGCAGATTTCATTTTTTTCTAAATTTGATAAACAAAAATAGAAAAAATAATTAGGAAAATATGTAAGCAAAGTTTAAGATTTGAGAAAAAACTGAGGAGAATATTGTATGTATGGTGTGTGTAATAGAGTGGGAGAATATTGTTTCCTCACTTGATTTCTGCGAAAAGTCTGAGGATTTGGCGCATATCCTATTGTTCCCTGCATTTTCATTGTGCGCAAAATTTCGGGATCTATTGCTGGAGTTTTCCTGTGAAAAAAAAAAATCCATCTTTACCTTTTTCTTGACTATACAAAATGAGACCATATAACACGTGTACACGTACCTATAAACCTTTTTTAAAAATTCTTCCGGCCAATCACTTAAAAGCGATTCTCCAGAATATACCATTGGTATTATACTAAGTGGTGTAACATCGTCATCAAAAGGAATTGATGGTAATGTCTCGATTGGATCGGCAAATTCCGTAGGTCTAAAGTGAAAAAAAAAAATTATATCACAAATACTTTCAACACATACATACACACACACACACAAATTCTTATAATCAATTTTATATATTTTTTAAATTATGTATTATAATTTCAGATATACGATATAAATTGTTAAATAATTTTAGAGTATAAAAAAAATGTTGTTTTTTGATTTTAGAATTTACTTCGAAAATTTATTTAAAGAATAATTGCTAACCTGGAAAATGTATTAAATTGAGGTTCCGGAATGTTGGTGGACATTAGATGTATAGAACCTGCTGAATCTCCAAAGCAGAGACATTGAGATGTAGAAGCTACATCAAATGATAATATTGCTGCTCCACCAGTAGCAACCTAATATATGATATTTTTGTATATGTTAATATTTTTTAAATTTATTCTTATATTTTTTTCTCGGATCTCTCTCTCTCTCTCTCTCTTTTGAATATATGTAACAAAAATTTACCTGATACAAACATGTCATTGAAGGTTGTACATTGGCATATATTGTATCAAGTAGCTGCATTTGTCCTAATGGCGACACCACTGCAAGACGACTGGAGTAACTTGGTAGGAACTTTAATAAAAGAGGATATACCATAGTAGTAACTGGACTCAATGCTCTCATTTGTCTCAGGTCATAAGCCATCAAAAATCGATCAACAGTAAGGCCTTGACGACTAAACATAAAATATGATACATAAACATATAAATATATATCTTTTAAAGATTTTCTAACAATCTTATGGCCCACCTGTTGCTGAACCCACAAGTAACAAGATAATTTCCCTGAACATCAAAATCACTTAAAGAACCACTATGCGTATCCAGAGTATGTTCTATCGATAATGTATTTGGGTCCCTGAGATCTATTCGTCCTGCAGGATTACCAGCGCAGATAAGTCTACTGTGTTGTCTCAATATCGCACAACCATTTTCTCCTACATCCACCTATAAGCACAAGATACAACCATCACAGTAACTTGAGATAATCTAATATCTAACTCTCTAACATATTCTTACTAATTCAGTCTCCTTTCCTCTAGTAAGATTAAAATCGATTATTTTATCCTGATGTCCACCCATGAGTAATCTGGTCGGAGAGATTTGCAACATGCACTGCATGTCATTCATATTCGTTGACCTATAATAATCTAAATTTGCTCAAATCTGTGGATTATATCGCTGACTACAATATTAACATACGTGTGTGTAAATATAGGTATGCCTCGCCGCAATTGACATCTCAATTGACTCTGACTCAACACTAAGATGCCCTCATCCACAGGATGAATATGTCGTATCTCTTGTGTTGCATGGACTTGAAAAGAGGTATATTTTTGTAAACTAGGTCCATAATAAGATGTTACATGGCCCTATAATAAATTAATGTCACTAAACAATCATTTATATCATAAATAAAGATAGTCCCAAAATTAATAATGTACCCCTTGATTGCCCATCCACATAAGCTCCTCAATTGTATCGAAAGTGGCAGTGGAAACTCCAAACCTATCTCCGCCATCAGCGAGTAATGCTCTAGTTTCATGAAACTCAGCCCCGGCAAAATCTTCTCCAAACTGCTCCGCTGCAGGTACAAATTCATCCCCAGGTACGATATAATTACATTCCTCCCCTGGAATAAGAACCATTGAAATGCCTAAAGTATATCCTTGATATACCTTATTCCAAAAGAAACAAGCAGAAGAATATTTCTACGAATAATTTATCTCTGTGCAAGATTTTTTTCTTAATACTTCTAATTTATTTGATGTAAAAAAATGCATATAACAATAAAATGACAACAGAACAATTTGTTATATAACTTCTTATTTTTGCAATCATTATATATACAATATCAATAGATATATAATTGCATTATATATACGTTATTTGTAAATATTTTATATATTTATCATGTAGTAAATAAAATTAAAATATAAAAAAGCGTACAATAATCAACATATGTGCTTTGAAAATTAACTATTTGAAAAAACATATTTATATTAAAATTATCCATTTTAAATATCTAGTTTAGTCATCTAGTCGTTTTGTATCCATAACATATTTATACACCGAGCCTCGAGAAAAACATCAATTCGCCGCATAACGAACAGCTGATGTCAGCTGATATACTTCACACATGAACGTTCGAAAGCAAACGAATGTTAGCGAAGGGCAAAACAAAGGACGCGAAGGAGGAACAAAAGTCGCGATTGGAAAGAAATTTGCGAGATCAAAAATTGCAGTTCTCTCTCCCTTCTAGACAAAATCCGCGAGGCATACGACGTCTCCCGGCGCCTTTTGTTCGGTACGTAGATGAAAAGAGCGAGCAACGCGCGGGAACACATATCGATACAAAAGGATATTTACACAGTAGTTCCTGCTCCTCCTCGCCGCTAGCGTGCTCCGTGGTCTCTACGGTGGGATCGTAGTGGCCCAACACCCGGTAGTCCATAATAAATGGTTGCTCTCTTCAGGCTATGTCGTTGCGAAACATCGAGGGGTCAGGGCGACACGAGAATCGGCGTCCCGACACACGGTTATCGGTCCTTTATCACAGCATACCACATGCGCACATATATATATATGTATACACACACACACACACATACACACACACTCTCTCACGCAACAGAGGAATACGCACCCGCACGCACGTTAGTCGCCTTGGTAACTGTGCAACAAGCGAAACACTTTGCGCGCTTCGTTAAAGTCGTTTGTCGAATCGGGAATCTGACGAACGACCGCGTCATAACACGCGCTTTCTTTACCGCGCTTTCCTCGCGCGCCGGAAAAAAACTGCGTCGTACGCCGCGATCGCGATTTAATTTACGATCGCGCTTTCGTGCGCGTTCCTTGACAAGGACGTATGTACGGCGGCCTTGAGCCTCGCGACATCTGGAAGTTGCGCGTGCATGATCACGTGACTTCGCCTCGTGGCCAAGCCAGACAGCTCAGCGCGCGCGATTTAAACTACATATATACGCGAATAATTAATTCGATAATAATTTGACAATTATGTGCTATATTATTTTTACATATATTCCGATAACTTGATTTGAAGAGAATTGCAGCATGAGAAATGTTATAATAAATTTTCTAAAAATATATTTTATATCATTTGTAGATTACAATTACATACATATTTCTCAATTATAAAAATCTTATATTAAAAATTGTTTATAAGCTATGTAGAATTGTTAGCATAATTTAAATTATTGTTATGCTACATGTAATCAAAAATATTAGAATCTATATGTATGTATTATTTCTTTACAAGGCTTTTTATTTTTTTACACTGTTTTGTACTGCTTCACATAGAAACATGTTTGATATATACACAAAATTGTAAAGTGTACAAAACAAATTTGTACACAAAAATATTGAAAATAATATTATTTCACACATACATATTTCTAAAACGAATTATTTAAATACTATTATTCATGTATCTTCACATCCGTAATCCAAGATACTAAATTAATGCATGTCTCTTGTTCTAAATAAATATAACCTATAATTAGGCCTTCAAAGATACCTAAAAGTACTCCAACAAGCACATCAAGTATGTGATGTCTTCTTAACAATATTCTAGACATACATACGGAGAAAGACCATGCTAATAAAGGTGGTGCGTATATCAAAGATGTAGACCATAAATGAAAGAAGAAATACACAATAAATGCTGCTCGAGAAGCATGTCCAGATGGAAAGGAATATTTATCAGGACCTAGAGAAAATGGAACCTGTGTGCAGGTTGGCCGTCTTCTTCTTGTGATTGCTTTTATCAAAGCTACCGAGATAATATCAAGCAACAAACCTGAAATAATATTTTTGTCTATATATGCTCTCTATAAATTTAATAAGCAAATAAAAATTTTATTTACCTATTAGAAGATTTACTTGCATTTGATACAAGCTTTTGCTGTTAAAAATCCAAATTAATACGAGAGAAATTGCTAGCCAAACAATACCATGACACGATACCTATGAAAAAGAGCAATTAAAATACAGTTAGACATATTTGTTTGACAATAATTAAATAATAAAAATGTAAATAAGATTATTCATACCTCTAATAATTTATAATGTACTTTTAACTGTTTTAAGGGTAAAAATTTTTCTGCCAACTTAACCAACTCATCTGTCAAATAAGCATCCACTGCCAAAACTTTCCTCAGTAGTGTCGGAATTTCTCTTTTCTCAGACTAAAAAATATAAAATAATTATATTTCTTTATAAATAATTGTATATATTTAAAATAATAGTAAATATATATTCACAAATTATTAATGTTATCTCAACAATATAATCTATAATAAAATGTGCATATATTATTGAAATAAAATGATATTATCAGTAGAAAATATAGAAAATATCAATACGAAAATAGACAATAGAAATAATAAATCACAAACGATTAATTACCGTCTCCATATTGTTTCACAATTAGCTGATAGACGACAAAAAATATTCAAAAATCACTATCACAAATAAATCATATGATTATTAATAATGTTCAAGTTCAATAACCACAGAACGAAGATTGTACTAAATATATTAGCTAACAGCACAGCTGTTTGGCAACTATATATATATATATATATATATATAAGATAGTATTCGAGAACGACGATTTTATTGTTAACGTTGTTGTTTTATCTTTGTAATTCACGAAAAGATGAATAAGGACAGAGCACACGTCGTTCTCGAATGCAGCCATTTACATAATGCTTGTTGCATGAATGAATATCTCATCTGTTCAATAGATGGCGCATATTGTTTCGTTTTTCCATTCTGTCATGTCTTGCTGATAGAAACAGCTGATTATTAAATAAATAAAAATTGTATCATTAAATTTAATTGAAATTAATTTTGTTGAAAATGATTAAAATCCAGTATTAAGAGCATTATAAAAGATTATTAATTTTTTCACACATTTATTTTTTATATTTCTTTAAATAATATTGTACAAAAAGAGAAATAAAGATAAAAGAAAAAAGAGAGAGAGACAACTTTTATATTTATTTGAATTATATTTTTATTTTATATTATATATCTTCTTTTTAATATCTATTTTTTAGTTTATATGTCTATTTTCTTGAATTAATTAAAATACATAGTAACTTATTATTCATCTTAAACCATTCTCTATAATATAGATATAATAAAATAATAAAATTACTCTGGAAATATTTTATTCTTTCTTAAATACATATTTCTTCATTTTTATACGTCTTATGAAATAACATAAATGTGAAAGAATATATCACAGTTTTCAAAATATAATTATAGTCGCTGGTAGCATCATGTTTGTGTATTAGTAACATAGTATAATACGAATAAATAGTGTATAATTTATAATTATATTTTGCACATGAAAGAGAAAGACATAGGAGGCAAGATGATCGCAAAAGTACGCTTATGGAAGGCTCATTGATACAGATGAGACACAATTATTATATCTTTCTGATTACGAAAATTACATCGAAATAATTTTTTTGAAATTATTTATATTTTTGAAAAGTTATCATCTAATCGTATAGTCATCTGCTTTTATATATGCATAATAGTTCATTGTGACTTTCATAGAAATAGAGCAATCTTTTGTAATTCTCTTGAATTTTCTTAATGCACTAATATATTAATAAATATATTAATAGATTTATATAATAAAGAGAATGTATAAACCTGTTCAAGAAATATAATAAATGTTATATAAGGATATTTGATCGTTGTACTGTCACTTTAAAAATTTACATTCTATTTATATTCTACCTAATGCATATAGAGTTTTGAGAACGATATGCATCGGAAGAATATTTTTAAAAAACTTTTTTCTTTTTAATTTCTTCTTTCTTACATTAATTACAAACGCTTCCGTTTGTGATTATCGTTGATTTAGTTGCGAAGAAATTTAGAAATATTATCTTCCTTCTGATATATAAATTTTTAATGACAACTATTAAAAATATTATTATCATTAAAAGACTGATAATAATTTATTATATTTATCATTATTAGTTAAAATGTAATAATTTGTAATTAGCTTTTGTTTAGATTATGTGATTTTGAAGTATTGTGTAATTAATTTGAAAAGTAAAGATTATTTTATCAAGTACTAATTTTAACACATGCTATAGTAATATGGTAAACTTTTTACTTTTATATGTAGTATCTTTTGATTCTGCACATTAATTTTCTTCAAGTTAATATCAAAATATCATTTGGCTAGAAAATAGAATGATAGTATGATATATCTATATAAAAAGTGTCGCAGAGATGGAGCACTACTTGTAAAGTCATCGTAAAGGGTTGTATTATAGGATACATGTGGATCCGTTACTCAGCGAAGGATTTTTCACGAAAGACATTGCACGAGAATAAAAAACGTCTTTAGATGTGACGTTGTGTGTTCCACACGACCTGTTGACAAGCAAAAATACATTGGTTAATCTTTTCAAAATATATCGATGCGCTACTTCTTATTTAACTGCAACAATTCTTGTGTAGGAGAACATATGTCTGATCGCATACTTCTCCTGTCAGTATTGTCACCGATGCATACATGCAAAGGATTCGATGAACTGATACACTGGAAAAAAGTAAAATTTAATCTATTATTATGTATATAAAGTTGACATACTTTGAAAGAAATAAAAATAGAAACGATTACATCGAAAGAATATAACTCGATATAAATTATATAAATGTAACGCATCTCTCTACCTATTCTCGTGCCGCCTCAATGACGTCGGATTAAACGGGTACGATGGTGAAGAGCATTGGTGACAATACCGATTTCGTCCTCTTCTTCAGCCGATGGACGCCGTGTCCGACTGTTTGGTGTACCGCAAACAGATGAGGTAGCAGCTTGCTTTGCTTGTGGCGTTGGAAACGATGAACGACGAATGAGCGGGGGTGGTCGTGCTCCTGGGGATAATTAAATGGATAATTAAATTTGTTCGTCTTACATCTGCCGCTAATCGAATAAGAATGGCTTTGTACTATTGCGCATGATACCTGTAAAGTATATTTGCCAATAATATGTTAATCATTAAAAATATCATTTTGAAACAAAATTAGACAATTAACAAGAGTGTATGTGAACGAGTTGATTATATATTTTTTTTAATTATTAAATATCTCGATTAATATTAATTTGTAATTGTTAGACTATTTATTTTGATTCTTTCTTTTAAAAATATAAATATAAAATTATCTTTAATACAGATAATATTATTATAGAGAACTAATCTATGTAGAGTGAAATTTACATTGCAGGTATCTTTGTTAACGCTTTTTTGTATAATTGTGGAATATTAAAAAATTATAAAATCAAATTGAATACTTAAAACGTCGCTAGTGGTATTTAAAATAAGAACGATATATTTAATTCGACCCAAACTAGCCAAGAAATTTTTATTTTATTTCTACAACGTTTCGACCATCTGTTTTTAGTCCTTTTCAAGTGAAAAATTCCTTGATAAAAGCGCAGTTAGTTGACACTGTTGTCATGATTATTAAACAATATAATTATCGGAATTTTTTCAAATGTTTTTAAAAAAATCCAATAATCATATTGTTTAATAATCATGACAACGGTGTCAACTGCGCTTTTATCAAGGAATTTTTCACTTGAAAAGGACCAAAAACAGATGGTCGAAACGTTGTGGAAATAAAATAAAAATTTCTTGGCTAGTTTGGGTCGAATTAAATATATCGTTCCTATTAAAAAATTATAATTGATTATTCAGCACATACCGAACAAACGCAATGCGGAACGAGGCGTTCCAGGTATCTCAAAAGACCTTTGACTCCTAATTAATTCTTTTAAAATGGGACGTCTTGTGGCGGGTAGGTCCACGCTGGAGGAGCACCTCCGTGAAGTAATCGTGCTTGCCCTAGACGAATCCTTATGCATTTTTGAAAAGAGAAGGTGCAATAGTTATGCGTGTCTATTCGAGCATCGAAAGACGGTCTTTACTACAGCTTCGCGAGGAAAATAGCGAAGCGCTTATCCGTCAGTCTCTGCCGAATATCACAATTAATTTTGTGTGGTGCAAATTATTAAAAAGTTTAATCTGAATGCAAATTTAAATTTGGTAACATACAAGTGCAAATTGAGGATAGTGAGTAACGTGCGCAAAGAATTAAAAATAGTGTAAGCTTGCGTTGAAATAAAGTATCAGCTGCGAGTTAAAAAATTAAAATATATGATTTTATTTGTCATTAAATAATTAGAGAATAACTGCTTTTAAAATCCTATTGTATTATTTGCAAGAAACGCGGAACAGAATAATTAAAAAAAAATGTTGCAGAGAGAAATTTTCGCTGACTCAAGTTCCTTATATTATAAAGATATTTTAACGATACTGAGTTTCAACGCAAGAGCTTAAAAATTTCGATAATATATGGCGCAGTACTTTATCCCTGGCGAAGCGTATTCGCAGTACTTCAATGAGAGCAGCTAAGACTGATACGAGCAACATCGCCACGAGTATGTGACCTGCCACCGTGACGGACTTCATCTGACGACTCTTCAAGATCTCTTCAGCGTTTTCTTTCATTTCTTCGTTGATGCCCCTCCTCTTAGATACGCAGGTTTTCTCCTCATCTTCTTCATCCTCCCTGCTATCGTCTTCTTCTTCAGAGTCGCTGTCATCATCGTCGTCATCGTCGTCGTCATCATCGTCATCATCGCACTTGTCCTCCACGTATGTGCAATTTTTATCGTAATCGCTCAGGAAGACCGACATCAAGCGATCTTCGTATTGCAAATTCGGACAGCGTTTTAATTTTCGATAATCGATCGGTATCACGGGTTCTTTTTCTTTCGCCGAGTCAGCCGGGTCACTGACACTGTTCTCATCCCCGTTTTGATCGGAATAATTCGTGTCGAATAACAATCGCAAAGGCAAGGATAGAAGCACGCCGAATATCATTAGTATCAGTAGAATACTAACGTTGATGCCCAACGACAATCGTTTCTCTTCCGTCATTCTGGTAAAGTGTGTCGATTATACACCACGTTGTTTACCTAAATATTTTCAATACGAAGCCGGTACAATATATAAAGTCTCTCGTGAATTTCCATGGCAACGCGGATCAAGCGGCATTCGAACTTACGTGATTTTTTCCAATCGAAAGCTAATCGATATACAGCTATAAATTGATTGACTTTCGCAAACTCAATTGTTATTGTCTAAACAATGTTACGTGCACGTGACGATGTATCTCTTTCCTCGTCTCGATGCAACTGTTGCGCGTTGCATCGTGCAAGCAATTCGAAGTGAACCTGGACGTTGTCTGTGATATTGATTTCTCTAGGTGGACCAAGCACGTACGCGCAAGTCTGCCTCGCAAGATCGTTCGGTGAACACCTCGCACATGTTGGTAATTAGATTATGCCTATGATGAACGGAACGTTGATGATTTGCCACGGGGTTTTGAACACGTTGAAGGACGGCCAAGAATACTCGCGAATAGGTCAGATATTATTGGGGGGCAAGATTTTTCTTCTTAGAACATATAAGTTGCGTAGAGAAAAGCTATGAACTGTGATGCATATCGATATGATAAATAATATGTTATATGTGTCAAATGGTATAAAAGTATATGAACAATAAAAGATGTAAAAAACTGTGAAGTCACTAGATGATAATCAAAAAATGGTATAGTAATTCACAACGTTTCGGCCATGGGTTTCGGCCCTTATCAAGTGCTAAAACACAACTTTTTTTAAAAAACCTTAATTTTTGATCTTAGAATGTGACAAGATATAATACAATGATAATGTGAAACAATTAACTATCCTATATATGAATATTGAATAAAGATCACTTATTTTGCCAGAGTTGGTCGATGGAGAAATTACTACCATAAACAATAAATGTGCGAAAACATTGTTAAAACTTTATTTAATTTATTTGTTTCCAAATCTATATTATTGGGAGAAAGTTATATAATAAAGGATAAGCAAAATGTGCACATGATCGTGAAATAGAATTCAGACGAACGCAAAGTTCTCGACGGAGTTAAGTCGTCGAAATGGATGTGACTATATAGTATTTCCGATTGAATGGAAGAAAGCGACGATCACGATGCATCCGCGGTTCTCGAAAAGTATCCTCGGTTTCTCTAGCCGCGCGTGCATACATAAATAATATTAGACAATATCAAATTAAAATTCGCATCTTTCTGCGAGTAACAATGGAGCATGGTGAACCAACAAAGGAAACGCCCGCCGCGACAGAACGAGTGGTAGTATAGTAGCATCGTGTGGTGGCGGCATTTATAAAAGTAATAAAACAGTCGAACAACAACTCTTGCAAGGGAGAAAGAGAGAGAATGAGCGGGTGAGGAAAGAGGGAGATGGGAGAAAGGGCGAGGGTGAGTGGGATAAGCCGGGAGGTGAAAAGAGGAAGGCAGTAGGGAGAGCAACAGGCAAAACAGAGCAAAAGAGAGAGATGAAACACAGGAGAACAGCGACCCGACCCGACCGACCGGTAGCAGAGCCAGCACACGTATATCTTGCTCTGCTACTCCGATTCTTCGAGGTTCTCATTGATGAAGTCTCTCGTGCCTTTACAGAAGAAGATGATTGCACGCGAGAGATTTTTTTAAAAATAGCTACGATTATCTATTGGATGCGTGAACAAAGAATCGATGAAGTGAAATAATGACATAAGACATGGATATAAAAACGTACAAAAAGATTAGCCTCTTCCATATATATATATAATAACTTTTTCCACATCTATTATAGCCTTGAAATTACTTGAGCAGCTTATAACGTTTTGGATTTTGTTTTATATGGAACGATAAAAAATGTATTGCGGTCAAATATAAATAGATTTTCAATGTTTATTTGTTTGTGATTGTGTATTAATTAAACAATTTATTGCGATTGTTGAAACGCTGTGTAGTTATTTGATTCAAGTTTGCGCCTTTCTTCGTATCCAGTTTTCCTTACTTTAAACTAAAATCCTCTTTATTTTTGGCCAATTCGCGGAGAGTAAATTTATCATCAAAATACCAGGCATGCCGGCATATACTGCAAGGAGAACGGTGAGTTCATAATCTGTGAAAGCCATAATTATCTCGTGCGGCACAATTATTTCGAGGAGCTTGCGAGGTGAACCCGGGAAATCGATTATCGCATGCACCATGGGTGCGAAGGTACGCTTCGAGGTCATCGATTGAGCGATTTTTACAGGTCGGCCGAACGTAACAAGTAGGTAGGTTGAGAGCCAGGGTATGTAGAGCAGATGCTGCGTTCTCTGGCCATGGCAGTGGTGGCGAGATGCGTGATTTTTCATCGCAGACAACTCCTCCTCCTTCGAGAGAGAGAGAGAGAAAGAGAGAACCGCACATTCCACCCCTCTCCATCTTCTTCTTCTTCTTCTTCTTCTTCGGGGCCTCTCCATCGTCTTCCCATCCCCAGGCACCTTCATCCTTCACTCTTCGTTCTTCGCGTCCGGCTAGCTCCCGCTCGCGCCGGCCAACGTACTTGGACACGCCACTGGACACCAGTTGCACGATCTTAGATTTGTTGATCTCGCGTCCGGAGTGCACCGACACGCGGAGGGAGATGCATGCGCCTGGCGGGATGCACAGGGCGCGCCCTCGAGTCATTCCGGCAGTCGCGTGTGGCTCGCGATGAGCGAAGCGCGTATGTATGTACGCACGCGAGTCACGCACAATCGAGAGCGTATATCTATTGACATATCAGAAAATTTAGGAAACCGCGAAATAGCGATATACGTGCAGGAAATACGTAATGAGAGTATCTACCAGCGTATGAGGAAATTGAAAACTCCAGGAAATGAGAAACTGTGTATTTGCATGAAATACATGCGATAAAAGTCTGTTTAAAAGTATCATATATTTTTATATTGGAGATTTTTATTTTAAAATCTGCGAGAAAAATAAATTATATGAGCACATAATATAATATTGTTAGCAATGAAACAAATTATTAATTTTTAATTATTACATTTGTAAAAAGTTTCTACGTAATTAAAAAATATTTCTTACGTCTTCTTAAAAGATTTCTACTCATTGAATATTTAAGCATTTGTTCTACAAATTTATCAATTAACGACATTCTAGATTTGTCAATCGTATTACGTAATATATCAAATTATAATAAAGATCAACCTCTAGAAGATAGAATATAGAAAAAACACATGATATAACGAAAGATATAGGACTCAATCCTAAAATAAGAAAAATGATTACAATATAAAAATAATAAAAAAGCGTGTTTAAAAATATCGAAATATATTAATGAAATGGAAATCCTTCGAAAGGATAATAAAAAATATTGAAAAAACACATGACATAATAACGTAAGATATACATAGGACTCGACCTTAAGAATGGGAAAGAATTAATTATCGCCGCTGATTTAAACATAAAAAAATGATGTGCTTATATTTAAACATATGGGAAAACATTAATAAAATAATGTTCCGTTTGATAATAGAAAATATTAATAAAAAACGTGTTATAAACTTAATGTTACGTTATCAAGATAATGAATAAATGTAATAATTCAAGTTATAAATATAAATTGCTTTACTTATTTGCTCTGCTAGAATTTTAGTAGGATATGCAATTTTTACTACTATATTATTTATCATTATATTATTTGCATAATCAAATCAGGTAAAAAATGAGAGTTTTAAGAAATATTTACCAATTAAAAGAAATTTACAGAGGAATCAGGATACGAATATACAAATCGACTATCTAAGTACCTATATTATGAAATTGTTCGGAAAGATTTCCGATCGGAAACCTTTTCAAACAGTTTCATAATAGGTATCCAGAAGTTATATCTTATACTCGCATAAATCCATGTCAATTTAACTCTTTAAAAAATTAAATTATACGCAAAAGATATTTGTTTGAAACTACTATATTTTTAATTTAGGTTTTGATTAAATGTGCAATACTTAGGACCGGTCGTTCTAACTTTTTGGTAAATTCTACTCGACAGATAGATAGCATATCTTCGTCTCTTTTTTAGAAGCTATTTGAAAAGAGACGAAAAAATGGTAGGTGTCGGGTAAAACTTACCAAAAAGATGGAAAATTCATCCCTTATTATTGCAGTCGGTACCGCTTATTTCTAACTGATTTGAAATACTCCACGTAGATTATCGAAAGCGGCACATAAGACACGGACGTCGTCGAACAGACGCGTCTCTTAAATACGACTTCGCGTGTCACGTCACGGCCGGAATGTAACGAGCACCTTTTCCGCCGTACTTTTTTTTTTTGTACGCCGTCGATCTTGACGAAGAATAAAAAGGAGAGGGGATACGTTACCTGTCGCAATTTCGTGCCTAACTACCGGTATATTAAATCACTCGCGCTCGTCGTAAAATATGTGCATCCAATTTGCGATATAACGCGCGTCCTACGAGTTCGCGATCGGAATATTTACGCGAACGTTTGATTAGATTGATAGTCTAATTACTGGTCGTCCGAAAATCGATTTGCGCTCTAAAGAGTGCAATGTGTCTATGGAGTTTCCAACGTTATTACTCGACACTGTATATAAATGTATATAAATGTATGCAAATAATTTTCTGAATGAGGTGCGGAATGGTTGGTAAAAATGGACTATCTCGCAATGATGCATCGTGCGCACGCAGGACACTATTTAAATCATAACGTATCTGGTATGACCACTTTATAAAATACAGTGTATATCGTTTCATCGGAGTCGTTAAAACTCGGATAAAATCAGACGGATACCGTCTCTTTCCTCGATAGCGCGTAAATAGACGAGACTCTTGGCGTTGTTAGAATTCCAGTTCGCCGCGAGCGATTACGAAGCGAATAGCGCTTCTCCTCGCGCGTCCATCTTATCGGAATTATTACTTTTGTGTGTTGCAACGCCAGCCTCCATAAATAAAATTAATACCACGCCACGGACATCCTATCGCTCTTGAGACGCCTGTTTCCGTTGAACACGCATCCCGCGATTTACGCACCGCCGGCATATTCCCGTATTATATTGGATCGAGAGAGGATCGTCCTATGAATTATAATATTATTACGCAGATTTTTCGTGGCGCGCATAACACCGGCAAATAGGTGCGGACGACGCCCAGTCTTCCTCTCCTTTTTTTTTTTTTTTTATTCTCGCTGATCGACATTATGCCGCGGAATCGAGATTATACCGGCATCGGAAATCACACCCCTGGCACCTGTGCCTAGCGCAAGAAAGTGAGGCGTGAATGTAACTAATTGGCATTGCGCGCGCGAGTCGCATCTTTATCTGCATGCTGCGATGGCT